GGTGGCGGCGGCGGTGGCAGTGGACTGCCTGCACGACCGCTGTGAAAGAAAGCGGGTCCCGAGTGGCATGGTTGCCCGTCGCCGCAGGCCTCACCCACCAGCAGCACATTGCCCAGGTGAGAAATGTAGCTGGAGGCCAGGCGCAGCGTCTCAATCTTGGAGAGCTTGCGATCCGCTGGCTCGGTAGGGATGAGTGTGCGCAGCGCGGTGAAGGCCGTGTTCACGCTGTTGGTGCGGTCCCGCTCGCGCGCATTCGCTGTGTGCCGCTGCCGGGGCTCGCGGCCTGGCCGCCCCCCGGGTCCTGGCCCGCTACCCGCGGCCCTCCGTCCTCCTGCCCGCCGCCGGGCGCCCTGGAGGCCGCAGCGCGCAGCATGCACACGGCAGGGTTTTTCATCGGAGCCCGAGCTCTCGCTTCCGCGGTCCTCATCCTCCGACAGCGGGCTCACCTCAGGGTACAGGTAGCGACCCGGCGGCGGCGCTGAACGCAGCATGGCGAAGGACATGGGCCGGGCAGGGGGCGCGGCGTCAGCTCCACGGTGCGCTGCTCATGCCGCCTCTTTAGGTCCACAGGCCGCCGGGCCAGGGGTCTCCGCTGCGCCCCGCGGTGGCGGCTGCCGGGCGAGGCGGGCACATGTGTTCGGACTGGAGTGGGGCCGCCAGCGGAGCAGTGCCTTTATAGCAATCGGCTCCTCCCCCCCACGCCTGGCCTCCGCCTCCCTTTCTGGCCTGGAGGAGTTTACTCAGAGCCTGTGCTTGCACCTTTTCCCTTTTTAATAGTTGTGCCTAGAGGGTCCTGAGCATCTTTCTGGTTGGGGAGTTTCTGGGGTGCTACTAATGCCCCAAGACCATGGTGTCCACTCCACCCATTCTGCAGGGAAGAAGAGAATAAATCAAGAATCAAGAGGCTTTCTCTCCTGGCATGCCTAAGTTCACCCAGCTGCCCTGGCCCTGAGTGCCTGGCCACACCCTGTCTGACTCTCCTTCCATGTGCATTTGGGTCTTTTGTGCCAGGCCGTGTGTGTGTGTGTGTGTGTGTGTGTGTGTGTGTGTGTGTGTGTGTGTTTGCGCGCACCCGCATGGGAGGTGACTCCAGCAGTGGCAGTCTAGAAAAGGGTGTGTGGGGTTGGCATGACTTGACTGTATGGCCTGTGCCTTGTGCCAGAGTCTTACCCCTTTGACCCATCCTGCCTGGGGGCCCCACCCCCATCCTTGCTGTATGCTTCATGGGGCTCCTCAAAGCCAGTGCACACGTGGATAAGATCAACACCTCTCCATCCCTCCAGTTTAGAAGTTGTCCTCTAGGTGGAGAACGTACAGCAAGAGCACAGGGCATTTCTGGGCTGGTATGGACAGGTGCAGTGGGACAGGGCCCAAGGGGTCTTTCTGAGGGGCTGCTGGCACTCAGCTGTGCTAGTTATGTCTGGGCCCCTCCTCCCTGTGGCTACTGTTGCAGGAAGTGGCCGCCTGGGCAGCAGTCCCCAGGCTGGGAGGAGTGAGGGTGGTGGCTGGCAGGGGCTGAAACCAGGAATGTGTGTCCAGGAATGTGGCTTCTCTGCCCACTGAAATGGGAGGGGGAAGATCAGCGGTGCAGGGAGGGGGGGTCCCTGACCACCTGCCGGGCGAAACAAGTTTGTTTCCCTGTGGTTGGGATGGGGTCTTCCCCTGGTTTCTGCTTTATAAAGTACCCACTTCTACCTAAGGCTTCTGCCAGGGGAGGGAGCCCATAGGCGATGAGGTCATCCCTGTCTGTGGCTGCCCAGAGCCTTGGCCAAGGAATCCAATGAGGGGGGAGGCTAGAGTTGGCATCACTTCAGTGGAAAATGTGAAGGTAAAGCTCTGGCGCCTCCAAGGGCTTGGGGGAAGGGGGCATAGCACCCCTGCCATGCCACGTCAGACCCTGGGGCCAAGGCTAGGGCAGATTTTGGGTCACTTGGCCTCTGGGCACATGGGGCTGATCTAGAGTGGCTCGAAGAGGATCAAGGATGACAGGGACAGGTGCTGACGTGGTGACTGTGCTACAGGACATTAGGAACACTGTGGGCAATGTGCCCCTGGCCTGGTACGATGACTTCCCACATGTGGGTTATGACCTGGATGGAAAGCGCATCTACAAGCCCCTGCGAACACGAGATGAACTGGACCAATTTCTGGACAAAATGGACGACCCAGATTTCTGGTGAGTTGGGCCTAGGGTCAGGACCTGTGGTTCCTTGAGCCAGGAGTGTGGCGCTGACTGGCTTTCCGTTAGGCGCACTGTGCAAGACAAGATGACAGGGCGTGACCTGCGGCTGACTGATGAGCAGGTTGCCCTGGTACATCGGCTTCAGAGAGGCCAGTTTGGAGATTCAGACTTCAACCCCTATGAGGTAACGGACAGTTGTCCCTAGGGTCTGAGGTACATGCACCCCCCACCTCCCAATCTAACATCTATGCCTGTCTCCATAGCCATCCGTGGACTTCTTCAGTGGTGACATCATGATCCATCCCGTGACCAACCGCCCAGCTGACAAACGTAGTTTCATCCCGTCCCTAGTTGAGAAGGAGAAGGTGGGACCCCCACGTCATCCCCTAGCACACTTGGTAAGGTTTCCCTGCTGCCATCTGACCTTAGCTTTGTGTGCAGGTGTCTCGAATGGTGCATGCCATCAAGATGGGTTGGATCAAACCTCGACGGCCCCAAGACTCCACCCCTAGCTTCTATGACCTGTGGGCCCAGGAGGATCCGAACGCTGTGTTGGGGCGCCACAAGATGCATGTGCCTGCACCCAAGCTGGCCTTGCCTGGCCATGCTGAGTCTTACAACCCGCCTCCTGAGTACCTGCCCACTGAGGAGGAGGTGGGCCTGCACTGAGGTGGGCGTGGGCCCCAGCCATGTTTCCTCATCCCTTCTCACCTAGCTCCTGTCTCCCCAGCGCTTGGCATGGATGCAGCAGGAGCCTGTTGAGAGGAAGCTTAACTTCTTGCCACAGAAGTTCCCTAGCCTGAGGACAGTGCCTGCTTATGGCCGCTTCATCCAGGAACGTTTTGAGCGCTGCCTTGATTTGTATCTGTGCCCACGGCAACGCAAGATGAGGGTATGTGAGGTAGCCCTCACAGGTCCTGGGAAAGTGTGGGATGAGAGTAATGCTAAATGCTCTTTTGCCCCAGGTGAATGTGGATCCTGAAGACCTCATCCCCAAGCTCCCTCGGCCAAGAGACCTTCAGCCTTTCCCTGTGTGCCAGGCCCTTGTAAGTGTGTGGAATCAGAGGTGGGCAAATGCCCTCAGGTGCCTGTGTGTCTGTCTTCTCACTCTTTCTTTTCTATAGGTCTACAGGGGCCACAGTGACCTTGTCCGTTGCCTCAGTGTCTCCCCAGGGGGCCAGTGGCTGGCTTCAGGTGGGCCTGAGGTGGGAGCTGCCCTGAGCTGGGAGACAGGGACCTGGGTAAGAAGATCAGGTGCTGAGAGGCTTCTCTGCTCTATCCAGGTTCAGATGATGGCACATTGAGGCTTTGGGAGGTGTCCACTGCCCGCTGTATGAAGACTGTGCGTGTTGGAGGTGTGGTCCGGAGCATTGCCTGGAACCCCAATCCTGCCGTGTGCCTGGTAGCTGCAGCCGTGTGAGTTTAAGACCTTGGGGGTGAGGGCTGGGAGGGGCACAGAAAAGTGAGGACTATGCTGAGCAGGGGCTGTGTCTGGGCCTGCCTTGTAGGGATGACGCCGTGTTGCTGCTGAACCCAGCCCTAGGGGACCGGCTGTTGGTGGGCAGCACAGACCAGCTGCTGGAAGCCTTCACTCCACCTGAAGAGCCAAGTTTGCAGCCTGCCCAGTGGCTAGAGGTCTCAGAGGAAGAACGCCGGAGGGGCATGCGACTACGTATCTGCCACAGCAAAGTATGTGATGGGAAGGGGAGGGGAACGAACGTGCAAGACCTGGTCAGGCCATCAGCCAGCATTGTTCTTCTCTAGCCAGTGACACAGGTGACCTGGCATGGGCGAGGGGACTACCTGGCTGTGGTGCTGTCCAGCCAAGGGCACACTCAGGTGCTGATCCACCAGCTGAGCAGGAGGCGCAGCCAGAGCCCGTTCCGCCGCAGCCACGGGCAGGTGCAGTGTGTGTCCTTCCATCCCACCCGGCCCTTCCTGCTCGTGGCCTCGCAGCGCAGTGTCCGCATTTACCACCTGCTACGCCAGGAGCTTACCAAGAAGCTGATGCCCAACTGCAAGTGGGTGTCCAGCATGGCTGTACATCCAGCAGGTGAGGGGAGCGTGGACTCTCCAAGTCAGGGAAGGGGAAATGAACCCTGTACGTCTTAGGAGAATTACAGGCACTGCTTTTGGCCCTAGGTGACAACATTATCTGTGGCAGCTATGACAGCAAACTGGTGTGGTTTGACCTGGATCTCTCCACCAAGCCATACAAAGTGCTGAGGTAAGGTGGGCTGTGTGAGGTAGGTAGAAGGCTCCTTCACCGGGAGCCTGCTATGAACACACTCGTCCACAGGCACCACAAGAAGGCCTTGCGGGCTGTGGCCTTCCACCCCCGATACCCACTCTTCGCATCCGGCTCAGACGACGGCAGTGTTATCGTTTGCCATGGCATGGTGTACAAGTGAGTGCTGACCCTTACCCAGCTCTCCCCATGGGACCATCCCACTGGGTCCTGAGCCTTTCTCTTCCACAGTGACCTGCTGCAGAACCCATTGCTGGTGCCCGTCAAGGTGCTTAAGGGACACACTCTGACCCGAGATTTGGGTGTTCTGGACGTGGCCTTCCACCCCACACAGCCGTGGATCTTCTCCTCTGGGGCAGATGGCACCATTCGACTCTTCAGCTAGGCTGACACTACTGTGGGTGGTCTGGAAGAGGGCGGGTGTGCCTCCACACAGAACCATCAATACAATCCTTGATTCCCATTGTTCCTGCCTTCTTGATTGGAACCGCTGCCCAGCCCTGACCTTACACAGCACCCCAGAACCTAGCTTAAGCCAGAAGGAAAGGTGGTATTGATACACTCACCCACTGAGGTGTAACTGGCTTTATTGGGCAATAAATTGGGGCAGCAGAGTCCTCTAGGCAGGACAAGCCACATATTGCTTGCAGGAGTACAGTCAGCCTCAGGCAAACTTCACCAGGCGGCCCAGCGTCTCAGCAGCTTTCTCCCGTACCCCAGGCACTGGGTCCTTTAGGAGGAGCTGCAGGGCTGTGGGCAGAGGAACAGGCCAGTTGTGCACATGCCTGGGCCTGTGCGTGGGGCGGCCCACTGCCTTTCTAACAGACGGGCCTCTGCTGGGAGGGCTCGGGAGCCAACGGAAAGATAGTTTTTCCTTTTTTAGTGTTTTTTAAGCTCTTTTGGAACAGTTAAGAAGTTTCCGTGAATTACTAGAGACGATGAGGTCACCAGTGACAGGGAAAAAATCCTGAAATCCAGGAAAACCACTTAGTCCCTGCGGGTGCCTACAGGGTCAGCAGAGCCCCAACAGTTGGGAAGGCTGGGATCAGGTAGGGAGGGAGCCATTGTGTCCTGGGTTGGGGGTGTGCTCACCTACAATGAGCTGCTCCAGGTCCACCTGAGTCCTTTGTTCAGGCTCTGCATGCAGCACCAGGAACCCTGAAGCAGGCGGGGTAAGCTGTGTGCTGGGTCAGCTTGGGGTGTGCAGGGGAGGGACAGGCCTGCTTACCTGTGAACATGGGGGCAGCAGCTCTGACGTCATCCCAGCTGCTTTTGAAGTAGAACAGGTTGGTGCTCACCAGGCGGCCCAGCAAGTCAGGGAAGTGGTGCATCTGTAGAACACTAGGGTCAGGGGGTCATGGTCCTCAGCCCCCCCTCCCCCCAAGGGAACGGTTCCCACAAACACTACTCACCAGGTGCTTGCACGTGGAATTGAGGAATTCCCCAAAGTGCACACTGCGGCCCTCCTGAAGGTACTTGTAGAAAGCAGCGGCCAGCTCAGCACATTCCAGATGGGGGACACACATGCACAGGGCAAACTTGCAGGCCTGGGATAGAATGGGTTGCTGAGCCCAAGGTCCTCTCAGGGCAGAAGGAGATGAGGCTGAACCCAGTACCCTTTCCTTTAAACCCAGTGGTCACTCACACTGGCCACTGGAACCTGAGGGTCCCGCAGATGCAGTAGGAGTGGCACCAACCCACCCACGACCTGCTCCAGGAAGACATCCTCACAGTCCCCATGGCAGGCCTTGTTGAGGTGTCCAAAAAGGCGGATGGATGCTGTCCTGAACTCCACTTTCTCCTAGCGGGGTGCAGCCATGTAAGCACAAGCCCTCTTTTCTAGGCAGGCCTCGCCGCATCCTTAGCCCCCTGCTTTTGTGCTGCGGACTTGAAGGTGGATTGTGGTGGACATGCAATAGTGAGTAGGATAGGAGGTTGTAGGCTAACACAGATGATACGGTCACTGGGGTTGGGGAGCCAGACCCAGCAAAGCAGTGCTGATGGAAACATACGTCTTCAACCTCAGCACTCTCACATGCATATGTCTGCCGTCAGTTACAGGGCCTGGCTGAGGGTTGAGATAGACCTTCGGTTGTCATACAGCTTACACTGTCAAAGAAGGGCCGGATGCGAATGGTTGTGTGCAGCAGCACCAAGCGTAGGTCCCATGGCTCCACTAGATCCAGCAGCCGTGAAAGGCCCACCATGGCTTCCAAGGCCACTAGACTGTGTGGTTCATCACCATCGTCCAGTCCACTGACCATGGCTGTCATGAGCTGTGGGCCATGAGCTCGCACCTAGGAGACAAACCCCTTTCCCTTAGCAGTGGTAATCTTCCCCACGCCGCCCCGAATACTCAGCCATATCTCCTGGCCTGCTAGGGGGCCAGCCCACCTTGTCAGGTGATCCAGAGGCCATGTTGGCCAGCCCTCGGAGCACTAGACGCCGTACACTGGCACTTGAGTCCTTCAGCCGGGCTGTCAGGTTGTCGAGCAGTGGTTCCAGGAGCATCAGGTCGTTGACCACGTTACTGCTGAGTAGCTGGAGGCAGAGCCGCTCTGACCATTTGTACCAGTCGACCCTCACCAGCTTAGCTCAGGAGGTTTCCCAAAGAGGGCGCTGAGGGCCTGCGCCTGCCCTGGGCTCCCAGAGGCTTATCAAGCTCTGACACCAGCCAGACGTGACCTAGGGCCTGGCCCCAGCCAGATGTGACCTAAGGCCTGGCCCCAGCCAGGGTTTTACCAGGTGAGGCTAACAAGCTCTGGCAAGGACTGGGGAGGCCAAGCTTGTCGGTAAGGGTACATCTGCCCAAGTTCAACCCCACTGATCCCAAGACAAAAGCATCTTTTCATTCCAAAACACAAGGCTTATGATGGTACTTCCTCCCCAAGGCCCTACCTCAGCCAGGAAAGCTGTAGAAGTGACCCTCTGGATCTCATACACGCTGTTCTGTGTGCACCCGAGTGCCTTCATCACCAGAGGCAGTCGGGGGCCCGCATACTTTGCCATGGAACTAGGGAAGGAGACCCCAAAAGGCAGGAGCTGGCCACCCTGGATATTGGCAAACCACCTCCCAGACCTGCTCCTACGTTGCCCCAAAGAGACTTTACCTCCTGCTCTACATGGCTAGCACCCTAAGCATTCTATTTCAGGGTCTTCTCAGGCATTTTCCCTTTTCCAGCCCACAGGATACCCCTTCTCTGTGCCTGTTGACAAGTTTGTGTCCCATGCCCTCAGGTGTCCCCCCCCCCCCCCGACAGGATGTGGTTTGCTTACCTTGCCAGCTGGGCAACTCCATCTTCATGCCCTGCTGAGGTCCTAAGCAGCTCCCAGCCTCCCTCCAGTTCAACACAGCGCAGCACATCCTGACTGCCACTTCGGAGCAGCAAGGCCTGAAGGGCATCCACTGCAGAGCTGTTGGTGTAGAGTGGGTAATATCTGATGACCTGTCTGCCATGGGTGCCCTTTCCTGGGCTAAGCACGGGCTCTGACTTGTTCCCTTCCACTAAGACCAGCAGATGCTGGCAAGTCACTTGGGAGTACAGCTCCCTTGTGTGCACACTGAGGAAAGGATTCCCATGCTGCCCGGGCCCAGCCTTGCTTGGATCCCTCAAGGAGCCAACTCAAGAGAAGCCTGTGGGTGCTCATTAGGACTTACAATGGACTTTGGACCAATCTGTTGACCTGGAGGTTAGCTGGTGAGATTGGTCTTTACCAGTCCTTAGGAAAATATACAGAATCATCAATATACACAAAGGCTACAGATTTAGCTTTTAAAACCTGTCCATCCCTGAGCCTGGTTCTGGATATAGTCTGTGTCTATCTTGAGGATACAGAGGACCCTGCCCAACTCACTGAGAATAAATAGATCTTCCTTCCTTCCTTCCTTCCTTTTCTTTCTTCCTTTCTTTCTTTCTTTCTTTCTTTCTTTCTTTCTTTCTTTCTTTCTTTCTTTCTTTCTTTCTTTCTTTCTTTCTTTCTTTCGTTTTTTGGTTTTTCGAGACAGGGTTTCTCTGTGTAGCCCTGGCTGTCCTGGAACTCACTCTGTAGACCAGGCTGGCCTAGAACTCAGAAATCTGCCTGCCTCTGCCTCCCAAGTGCTGATATTAAAGGCGTGTGCCACCACTGCCCAGCTATTTTTGTTTGTTTTGTTTTGTTTTGTTTTGTTTTTGGAAATAGATCCTTAAAGTGAGGCCACAATGAAACATCAGCTCAGCTAGGGGGGAGGGTGCACTGTGAGACAGGTCTATTCCCCATTCACTCATTCCCTGAGTTCCTGTGGCAAGCATCTGACTCCAGTCTCTTGCAGGAGGGCTAAAGGTCTTGCTTCCTAGGCTTAGCTAGAATTAGAATTTGGCCCCTGCTAAGATATACCCTTCCCTTATGGGGAAGAAGTTAAACAGATGGCTTATCAAAATGGGTAATACCCCTTGCAGAAATACATGTCCCTCCAGTACTGCATTTGCAGTGTCCTGTATGCACAGGATCCTGGGAGGCAGATCCTGAGGTTTGGGGGTCAGGGGTAGCACAAGAGAGAGCCGATGGCAGTGGCTACAGTGGAGCCTGTAAGTGCAGTGGTTACTTCCTACATGGGTTCGGTAGGAAAGACTGACTGCCAAGTGGGACAGGGGATGGGAGGGAAGGTCCAGCTCATACAGCGCTTGTCTAGGCAGAGGGTAGGCCTTGCTGGCCTGAATGCTATGTAAGACCTTAGCTGGTAGCATCCAGTGGAAGGCATGATGGGCAGGACTATATGGCACCTCTAGAATCTAGTGACATAAGTGTGGGACCTCTGGTCCCAGGACCCTGCACAAGGCTAGAGAGGCTAGAGGGCTGGAGCCCGAGGGGATAGGTAGGAGGTATAGAGTGGCTTCACCTCCCATGAGTATTTTTAGGTGAATCCCGTGCTCCAGGGGAAGATCTAATTGCTTCAGGGTAGTCTACACTGACTACAGATGGAGAAAATGGCACAACATCCGCTGTGGTAACTGGGGAGATGCCAAGAGTATACCTGTAAAAAACATCCTCAGTGTGGGCAGGGCCAACCACAGGCTAAATGAGGACTGAGTGTGCTCTCAGCCCAGACCTGAAGAGCCACCGCTGGTCACAGTATGAATGGACCAGGGCCTATAGCCCAAGGGGAACTGCTCATAGTTTTTCTCAGCTGCATCTATGAAAGGAGTGTACTTGGCTTAGGGATATATGAGCAATTGAGACACCTCTGGTAACTGAGACACCTCTGGTACCTATCTGCATAGAGGATGGATGGTGTTTGTAAAGCACTGAGGCATGGTTGGTGACCCCATCAGCTATGTGCTGCAAAGAGATCTCAGCCCAGGAATCTTCACAGGTAGAAGAGCTGGCTCCTAGCATACTCGGGTCAGGTCTACTGTGTTGTTCATACTTTACTGTGAATCTGTGCAGGAGTGACGGTAGCAGTGGGGTAAACTGAGGCTGTCCAACCCCAAGGGTCCCTGGCTAAGGTACAGAACCAAAGCCAGATAACCTGGATAGGAAGGACCTAGGGCAGTCAGGGAATGGGAAGATGGTGGTCTTATCCTGTGGTTTAGATGGCACTGCTATGCCTCTCTTGGAGGTCTCAACTCTTTCAACTGTGGCCCAGGGTGCTGCATGGAGCAAGGCCAGCACCAGCATGCAGGAGTCGGATACCATGGCGCACCAGGGCTCCCCAATCATAAGCAAGTACCCTGTTTCAGTTGCCCTAAGGAGCCAGGACAAGACAGTAAGAACTCAACCATGGATAGCAAGAGGTCCAGGCATGTTAGCAACTGCTGCTCTGAGCTGCAAATGCCCACCAAGGTTACGGTGCTGGACAGTACCAACCAAAAACTCAGGGTGTCAGTGTGACCTCATTTGAATGCTCCCTGGCCCCAGCCAGCATAGCCTTACTACTCCAGCCTGGAGCTACCTGAAGAGGTGAGAAGAAATCCAGGAAGCGTCCAGACCTGAAAACTCATCAATGGTGTCACACATGACCATCCCAACCTGTACCAGGTCTTTTCACTCCCAAGCCCACCATTCTTCAGACAAAGTCTTTCATGTCTTCTTTGGGGGCAGGCAGCTGACATCTGACATCACACACACACACAGTAAGTACGGATGACAGGTGAGAACCCCATTACCTGCAGGGATCAAGATTCCTGGCTGCTCTGGCTGGGCTGGTGCTTTTCCGCTCCTTGGCTTGCAGGTTCCGGGGCAGTTGGACACCCACAGTACAGCTAACTCGTAGTAGAAGTGCTACAAATAGCTGAGGGTAGAGCTCCAGTACCACGGTTCCAGATGATGGGGCAGACAGGACTTCATACAGTGCACAGGTGGCCTGGGGCAGAGCCACTAGAAGGTCATATCTCCCTCAAGACCATAGCAATTCCTGTATCCCTACTCCAGGATTCAAAGGGGTCCAAGCCGTAACATGAACCTCATGTACACTTTTTGAGTCTCTAGGGAGAGGTTTTGAGTCTCTAGGGAGAGGTAGAAGGAACCCAAGAAGCCACAGAGTAGATAGGACCGTGTGTAGCTCAGTCCTCTGGGCATTAGGCAGGGGAGAGGAACAGTGTGGCCTTCGTGGGGACAAACTTCAGACCATCTGTTCTTGGTTCCTTAGAAAGGAGAGGAAATTCTCACAGCTGCTTTATTGCTTAAAGTGTGGCTGGCCTGCCTTTATTTTTTTTTTCCACAGGATAAAATGTGAAGTGTGCTCCCTTGGGAGCTAACACCTGCTGGTCTTTATGAGCCCCAGCACAGCTGCCAGGTGCCTTTGGGGTACCCAGGCCTCATGTGGGGGCAGGGGCAGCATGTACTCAGGTAGCCCCTGAGTCCCTACTCACCGCAAGGGGAAGCATTGTAGCTACTCTGTCTGCAGTGCTGCCCAGGAGGAAGGCCCGGCTCTCCTTGAACGGGACATCTTTGCTCATCTTCTCCAGGAGCAGCTCTAAGACCTGAGCAGTGAGGCTGGGCTCCACAGCTAGTGCCCGCCACAGGGCACACATGTGGCTGGAATAAGAAGGAAATGCATCTTGAGTCACTGCTGGCTGCAGCACCCTGCTTACCACTGCCTGATGCTGCAGTTGTCCCCAGCTCCAGGCTTAGACATGCCAGACTCAGATCTTGCTGGGAGAGAGATGATACCCTGATGTCACATCTGAACTTGTCCATTCCTCTGACCCCAGGGTCTGGAAACAGCTGGCAATAGAGGGCAGAAAGAAAACTGCTGGCCTGAACAGGGAGGACCTAAGGCAGGAAGCATAGGGTCTCTAAGGAGCTGCCAGAAGTAAAACTTAGGTTTCTCCAGAGGAAGCATCAATCCCAGGACCAAGGACACAGGAAGAGGCATGAGGAGAGTATGCAGGCATTGCAGGTAGCAGGATAGCCTGTCTATCTCATGGCAATGCCCAAAACACTGGGAGGCAGTTATGCCCATGTGTCTGCAGAATGTATGACAAACTTCTGAGTTCTATTAGAAATCAGAAACTACAAATAGCAACTCTAAGAGAACTGATGCCTGCAAAATGGCTTAGTGAATAAGGGGATTTGCCACCAAGCCTCATGATCTGAGTTCAATCCCTGGGACTCACACAGCAGAAGGAAAGAAACAGCTTCCAAAACTAGTCCTGTGTCCTTGTTTCTGTGGCATGCACATACATACAAAAATAAATATAAAAAATGAAATTAAGAGAACCAAAGAGACTTTGTGGAAATCAAGCACATATCATACTTGTTAGACATATTGGTATCAGCCCAGATAAGGCAGGTGAGAGAACAGGTAAGCTGGGGGGCGGGGATAGAGCTAGGCACGTTGGTGCATGCCTTTAATCCCAGTACCCAGGAGGCAGATCTCTTTTAAGTTTTAGGCCAGCCAGTGTTGCACAGTGGGATCCTGGAGAGAGGGACACTACCTAGGATTTAACAGAGAGAAAGAGCAAAGGGAAGTTCAGAAGACAGAATGAGACAGGTAGACAGTAAAAGTTAGCAGCTCAGAAATAACAGATATCTGGAGGGAAAAGATTGAGGTTTTGTCTGCAATTGATGAGACCAAGTACAGAGGTACATGCCTGTCACCTCAGCACCCCAGAAGTGGGGACAGGGGGGTGAGGAGTTCAAGGCAGCCTCAGCTACAGAGCAAATTTAAGGTCAGCCTGTCTCAAAACAAAATGAGACTGCGCAACGCTACTGTACAATTCAGAGGCCCAGCAGACTAAGACAGCAAGATGCAAGCATCCACTCCGAGGGAAAAGCTACATCTTACAAAGACAGTGGACTAGTCACATGTGGGTCCCTTTGCAGCAACCCACAGAAGCTAGAAAATGACATTATTTCATGGATGCCATTGGAAACATTCCCCAAGTTGCAAGACCAAAGAGTCTGTGAGGAAGCCAGAACACCCTGCCATGGCAAAGCCACATCTACTGTTGGGAAGGAGTCACACCAGCACCTAAGTGCCTTGAAGCCAGGCTCAGTTCCCCTGATGGAAGGCTGCACACCACCCATAAGCACGAACAGTTCAGACTCTATGGACCTCACACCCTTTGTTGCAATGCTTTATATTTAGAGCAGCACATGACAAATGAAGTGGATGAGCATGGTGGTGGGTCACAAACCTGCATCTTCTATCCCCTTGTATGTCAGGAAGTGGTCTTCATCATTTCCAACCATTTATAAGCATGAAGTCCCATCGTGGCATAGAGGCTTAGTATAACTCACTGACCTGCCCCACTCCCACACACATGTGACAGGCTCTTTATGCTCTAGAGAAGACTGCTAAAATATCACCACTTAACAGCCCAGAATAGAAAGGCTATGAACATCCCCTGGGACTGTACAGTGTAGTTAAGACAGCCATACTATCCTGTAGTGAGAGCAAGCCATCTCAGTGTATCTCAAGAGCAGTAGACTAAGCAAGTCACAAGGCATCTTCAGGACTCAGGATAAGGAGACACACACACACACACACACACACACACACCACTCCCCAAAAGCAGCAGAAGGGCACTGGTGACAGATTGAAGGCTCAGCTGAAGAGTGGAGGGGACCTGGAGGGTGGATGCCTCTACTGCCTACATGCAAACAGTGTCTGAGGTCTGCAAGCACAGAGAACCCTGCAGGGATGCCAGGATTTGCAGACCTTTCTATGCACATCCATGTCTCAATGGGAAGTGAAATGACTGCAGAAGATCTCATGGGGATATGTAAGGAAGTTCACGTAAATGAGAACTCTACACTCTAGTAACAAAGGAGGAGCTAGAGAGATGGCTCTGCAGCTGAGAGTGTTTGCTGGTCTTCAAGAGTTCGCTGAAGGATACTACAGCCTATTCTGGCCTCCAGGGACACTTCTATCACACATGCATATGAAAATGAGGAAAAAAACACAGATACACACACACACACACACACACACACACACACACACACACACAGGAGAGACAGAGAAGAGAGACAGGCAGACAGACACACGCAGTCACTCCCAATGCACAGCCTCCAAGCTTGATAAGAATAAGAGCTGGCAGTGATACATGCGTCATGCCCTTAACAGCAGGCACAGCACCTGCACAGGTAGGGACCATACCATCTGGCTCAGTAGTGGCCTAAGGATACCTCTGGCCCCAACTGAGACTACAAAGAAAGATGAGACCAACAAAGCCATACCCTCAGGACACGGGAAAATGCTTGGCAAGAAGACAGGGACTATTTGGAGAGGTGAGAGACGACTTAGGGAGACGCATCGACACAGAGTGAACACGGTTCCTAGGCTCCTCCAGGGGCCCACAGTGGTCTTAGTGAGGTTGTGCTCACAGGTGCTGAGTGTGCTAGTGAATCGCTGAAGCACAGCAGCCAGGCAGTCTTGGTGCCAGAGAAGAGGTTAAGGACAGTGGCCACCAGGGAGAGCTTTAGGAAGTCTGGCTTAGCAGGTATATCCAAGAAGGGTCTTAACCTGGATCCCAAGATACATGGAGAGGGACAGATGCCTTGGGTACCTGTGAGCTAGGGCCGTTTTCAATTTGATTATCTTTTTCACAAGCCTAGGGGACCCATGAAGACAATTTAGGATGCAGAAGTAGGGGAGAGGTGCTGAAGGAGCACACACTATGCCATGCAGGAAAAAAAAAAAAACCCAAAGTTGGAATATGGCTTCCACCAAACAAGCTCAGGGCACTGAGTACCTGTCAAAGGGCAGGGGGCTCCCCAGGAGACTGGATACCACAGCCTCGCAGTGCTGAGATGCTAAGAGGTACACACTGTGCTGGGCAGCTGGTAGGACGTGTTCCTCCTGGGTATCCCGCAGTTTGGCTCGCAACACACTCACAATCTCAGGTACCTGCAGACAGGACAGGCTCAAGTGGGATGTTGCAGTCAGGCTTTGAAACTTGGCACACATCCAGGCATGACAGGGAAGGGATGGGCATACACACAGATATCTCTAGTAAGTTCCATAGCCTCAGCGGTGAGAAGGAAAGTCCTTAGAAATGCAGAGCTCTTGACTATGGGCCGCAGGCTTACGGCAGAAAGGTCTAAGACAATCCTCCCATGGGTATGAGTAGCTAAGAACGAGAACCTAGATCCCACATGAGAAGAGACAAGTAGGCCATGGCCCAGTGGTAGCACATTTACCAATCTGTAGGAGACAACCCTGGTTTAGATTCCCAGCACTATGGAGGAGAAGGGAGGATGCAGAAGTACATCTACTTGGGGCTGTTCAGAGGAGGTGATCAAGGAGCCTCTGCAGTGTTCCTATAACTCAGCTACTGTCTGCCAGGGCAGGACCATATGAGAAGCCAGGCTGGAGGCAGAGAGGGAGGACAAAACGGAAACAATGGACTGGTGATTAAGAGGAGGGGCAGGGCCTGAAGCAACGCCTACCTCAGCTTGTGGGCGTCTTGCTGCTGTACAAAGCAGGTAACACAAACACTGGGGAACATGGAAAGCTCTGGTCTCCAGGAACTCCCTTTAGAACTACATAATGTAGTGGGTAGATCTGTAGCCTCAACTGTTCTTCAGAAAGTGGCCTACTCTAGGCAGTCGTGCACAGCTTGGCTTATGAATCTCTCTGGTTCTAGACATGGAGAGTTCCCCCTACCCCAACACATTCAGCCAAAGCTGCATGTACAGATTACAGAAGTAAATGTCATTTAGCCCCTGAGAATAGTGAACGCCTTGACCAGAGTTAGTCATTTCCACCCCTCTCCCCTTTGCAAGGGAATCATTAGATGGAACCAGAAAGTTCCCCAGTACTGGAAAGATTCTGGGTCCAATGGGGATGGTGCCATCTCCTTGGTGAATCCAAGAAGGGTACAGGAGGCTAAAAATCAGTGTAGACTACACATGGCAGTGTCCTCGGAATCTACAGGGCTCAGAGGTGTGAGCATGACACTCAAGTCGTTGGATGACCTTCCTTGGGTACAAGAAGTATCCCCCATGATTCACTCCTGGGGTAGCCTCCTCCCGTCCACCTGCTCATCTGTGCCTTTATCTTCTGAATCTATGTCCTGCCCCAGCTGTGGCCTCATCAGGCCTGTGGCATCTGGCCACTGGCAACTGGAAGCTTCCTTGATGCCTCTGGCTTCTAGAAAGTTTGCTTGTTGTCTCTTTGTGGGGGAAGTTATGTTTGTTGGGATCTTGTTAGGACTGAGCCATACTCCCGGCTCCTCTCTGAAGTTGTGACAAGAGTTACTGAATCTCTAGAGATGTCTTTGTTCCTGGCCTACTGCTCAGGGTAGTGATTTCTACCAACTCTGAAAAGTGCACTTTTCTACCAACTGTGACAGCAGTGACCAGGTGTGGTGGCCTGGTAGTCTCATTCTGTCTTCGAAGCCCACCTTCATATTTAAGTTCTGCCCAGAACTCACTTCCTGACCACACAGGCAGGCTCCGTCTGGTCTCTGTGGTCCCTTCCCTCTGTCCTCAGCACCTGGGGGTGGTCTCGCCTTATCAGCTTGGTCGAGGTCATTTGTTCACAATAGCTTCACGAAGGTGCGGTCCCACTGTGGTGGTTCTAGTATACTGATGGTCATGCAAACAATCATAAATCCAATTCCAGAACTTTCCACAACCCCCAAAGGAATTCTGTCCCACCTCTCTTCCAGCCCTTCAAACCTCCAATCTATATTCTTCTCTGTGGACTGCCTGTTCTGAATATTTCATATAAATGGATCACACAGTGCATAGTGTTTCTTCTTCCGGCTTTCACTGGGTGCAGTGTTTCTCGGGGCTCCTCTACGCTGCAGATGTGTTAGAACTTCATTCCTCCATATGATGAACTAGCAGCCCTTGCACAGAAGCACCACATTCTCTTTTCTTAGTCACAAACTGGTAGAGTTTGCACAATGCTGCTGTGAGCACTGGTGTGTGACTTCCTGCGTGCATGCTGGAGTGTTCCTAGGGGTTGTCCTAGGGGTCACATGTAGCCCTCATGCTGACTTCTTGAGCACATTCCCGACTGTTTTCACATGATGGCATCTCTCTGTCCCCTAGCCACTTGCATTAGCATATGTGTCCTTTTTCCTGTGTTCCCTTTTGAGCCACAGAAGACCCCCTCCCATCGGCTGGCACAGGTGCTAAAGGTCTGCTCTAACCACCCTCCCACCTTGCCTCACGTGCGGCTTGGCAGTGTGCCTCACTCACAATCGTGGTATATCCAGTGGGACCTTGGTCAAGCTGCATGCCTCCCCCGGAACCTCAATGACCAGAAGTCCAACAGCAGCAGCCTGTCTGTGAGAAGCTCCTGTTGGGAGTCTCTCAGGGTAGAGAGGTTTCTCATGACCCTGATGGGCCAAGAAGTCAGATATGCCAAGTTATAAGATAACTGAGGTGCCAGGTGCAGACCAAAGTCTAAACTCTTGACTGGGCTCAGTAATTCAGCCATGCAAGGACACCTGGCTCTATTAGAAAAAAAAAAAAAAGGGAGACCCAAAACCATGAAGCTCTGCAAAGGGTCTGACAATGATTTCTTGGACATGACACCAAAAGCACAGGCAATAAAAGAGAGAAGCAGGTGACACCAACCTCAACCTCAAAACTTTGGCATAGGACAAATCGACATAGTAAGTTACTACAGAATGAATCACATATTTGAAAATCATATACTTGATAAGGGATTAGTATTCAAAATGTATAAAGGTGTGGCTGGGCAGTGGTTGTACACACCTTTAATCCCAGCACTTGGGAGGCAGAGGCAGGCAGATTTCTGAGTTCTAGGCCAGCCTGGTCTACAGAGTGAGTTCCAGAACAGCCAGGGCTACACAGAGAAACCCTGTCTCGAAAAACAAAACAAAACAAAAAAATGTATAAAGGTAACAAACCCATTACAAATCTCTGAGGGCCAGCAAGATGGCTTAGTAGCTAAGGACACTTGCCTGGTGACCTGAATTCTATCTCCAGAACCCTCGTAATGATGGAAGGAAAGAACAGACTCCAGCTGTCTCATTCACACTAATAATAAAGTCTAAAATAACAACAACTACAACAAAAACTGGCTTGAACAGACATTTTCCAAAGACAATACACAAGCAGCCGATCTATGTCTACAAATATGCTTAGCTTCATCGACCAACAGAGAAATGCATATCAAAATCACAACGGTGGAGCTGGAAAAATAGCTCAGTGGTTGAGTGTCCTGAGTCTGGTCCCCAGCACTCAGACTAGGCAGCTGTAGCTCCAATGCCTGTGGCCTCGGAGGGCACCTGCACTCTTGTGGACACACACATATATACACATTTACATATGCACATAGGTAATTTAGAACAAAACCATGATGTTGGCTGGTGAGATAGTTCAACAGATAAAGGTGCTTTCTGTCAAGCCTGAGGGCTGGAATTGGATGTCCCCAGTGTCACACAGTGAATTACCCTATGGTAGCTTCTGAACTCAACGTGTGTGCTATGGCGTGGGTATTCCTAAATAACTAAACACACACACCATCAGAACATCTTGCTCTTCCAAATGACCTAGAGATGGGTTCCTAGCACTTAACTTTGGGAGGCTTACAACTACTTATACCTACTGCTCCAGAAAATCCAACCCTCTCTTCTGGCCTCTACAGGCATGCACACATGTCACACACACACACACACTCACACACACACACAAAGAAAAAGAAATGAAGACTAGGGAACGAGCTCAGCCGTTCCTGTCAAGGCCCTGAGTTCAGTCCTCAGCACCACATGATGGTGTTAGCAACTGTCCCTCACTCCAGTTCCAGAAGATCTACTGGCATTTTCTGGCTTCCACATGAGTGGGACACATACATACATGTGTGCAAAACAGTCATACACATATATAAAATTTAATTTAATTTAAAAATGAGATTTGTTATTTACATATATGAGTGCTTGGCACACATGTATGTCTGTACCACATGCATGTCTGATGTCCAAAGAGATGGGACGAGTGAGTCAGACCCTGGAACTGAAGTGATAGATGGTTGTGACCACCATGTGGGTCCTGGGAATCTGAAATCAGGAAAGAATAGCCAGGGCTCTTAACAGCTGAGCCATCTCTCCCATCCTAAGTAAATTGTTCCATTTGGTCATACACCCACAGACAGTAAGAAGCAAGGACTTAGGATCTTTGTGCAGCTGTGCTCATTGGCTCTTCACTCCTGTCAGCCAAGAGGCAGAAAAAGTACAAATGTTCACCTCTGGACAACAGCTAAGCAAAATGTGGACTGTACATGGACGAGCCACATGTACCTGGTGACCTCCACCTCCTGCTCAACTTGTCCCCTTCTGTCTGTACAACTACCAGGATATCCCTTGATGTCTGTCCCAGGGAGCTTTGTGGCTTTGGAAAGCCCAGACTTCCCCAGGGAGACACAAGTGTCACACTGTGCCCTCCACCACCCTGCTCTGCTCCCCTCCAGAATCCCACCAGGCAGTACCTGACAGCACCAGCTTCTTCATCAGCTAGCCAATGGCACATGGATACCACCCCTGTCTAGACAGCACACTGTGGGAGGCTCCCTGGTCTCAGGCTCCTTTTGGTAGATGCTCTATTCTTCTTCACTACATAGTTCCTGCCTCAGGTATGTACACTCACTGTCAGAACCCCAGAATACTCACGGTATTCCTATAGATCAGTAAGGAAAGCACAGACAACCCAACGTGGAACTGGGCAAAAGACTAGTGTCCTCAAAAAGAAGTCATCAAGTTATCCCTCAGTCACCAGAAAATGCAAATTAACATGGAATGTCGAAAGCCCATCACTGAAAAGAAAATGGAGGCTTGGAAAAACCACCACCACTCTCCAGGGAGGTCACAACGGAAGGTGCCCTCAGACACCTGTTACAGACAGCACAGTCTATGGCTAAGGGCTCTGGCATGGCAGATGAACCCACGTGGTGGCAAGGAGCAAGCGGTATGTTAGCACAGGGAGCGTGAGTGATCTCACTTTTACACCATTTGCAAAGAGCTAGCCTGGGGTGTCAACAGGCGTCAGGGAAGACTTGGAAGCTGGCAGGTGACTCTACCTGTAGATGACTGTGGAAACTGACCCTCCAGCTCCTCTCCTGGGATACTTCAATATAGAACCTCAAAATCCCCTCCAGCAAATGAGTTGAGCCCACACCGTCCAGGACTGTAAATCTACTCTACAACTGTCCAGCCTGGTAAAGCCGAACAGATCCAAAGGGACTGAGTGCAGAGACATCCTTCGCTCTCACAGCACACCGAGTCCAGCCACAGGTGCTTCCAAGACATATTTGGAAACTACCAGTAGGAGACAGCTGTGGGCTGCAGCCCTCTAGGCAGTGAATAGGCTGTACAAAGCAGACAGTGGGGCAGGGCAGCAGTTCTGTGCATGAGCTTGGAGTTTTTGTATGGGGGCCTGAAGTCCCATGACTGGCAATCTCCCTGGGATCTGGTGATGCACTGCACACACGTCTTCTTTGGTAACAGGGTCAGGAGCTCAGCAGGTGGCAGCCCAATGTTAGTGTTTGTGGCTTTGGACATGGGGGGGGTATCATATAGCTCAGGCTGATCTCAGACTACCTCTACAGCTGAGGCTGCCCTCGAACCCCTGACCTTCCTTATCTCCACTTCCAAAGTGCTGTGATTAAAGGTATGTACGACCATGCTTGTCTGCCTTTCTCTCCTCAGCTCCTAGGTACAAGTGATCCCCAGTTTCAGTTTCCCAAATGGCTAGAACTATAAGAACAGAGAGTACAAACCAGGCTTGCACCTTCCTTTTTCCTTTTAAATTCTTTCCCCACCCCGCCCCCTTGAAACAGGGTTTCTCTGTGTAGCCCTGGCTGTCCTGGAACTCACTCTGTAGACCAGGCTGGCCTCGAACTCAGAGATCCACCTGCCTCTGCCTCCTGAGTGCTGGAATTAAAGGCATGTGCCACTACTGCTTGGGTTAAATTCTCAATAGAGTTGCTTTTAAGTGGTCTTCAGATAAGAAAAAGATTTGTCCATATCAGACCCAGAACAGACGCAGTCGGAAACGTGAGAGTCGACAGGGAGCACCTGAGCAAGCGAGTCAGGAAGCCAGCCCTCGCCTGGCCCTCACCCTCACCGCAGTCCCCTCCATGCTGCTCTCACCTTTTCCAGCAGCACGTTGCCCCGCTCCTTCAGCAGACAGTTGATCATGACGGTGGCCGCACGGGAGCAGTTCTTGTCTGGGTCTCCCAGGCTCTCAAACATGGTGAGCAAGAGGCTGATGAGCTGCTCTGACGGGAGGCGCTTGGCAATAACCTACGAGGTGATGCCAGAAAAAGACATCAGAGTCAGCCCTCAGCGGCTTCCTGAGGGAAACCTCAGGGTCTCCTTCTTCACCCTTCTGGGTCTGGAACTATTCCAGGAAGGTGGTCCTTGTGCAGCTGTAGGGTCAGGATCACACAGGGGACAGGAGAGTGACTTGTGTGGAGCTGCTCTGGAACTCTCTAGAATACAGGGATTTCAGGACAGGTCTGCAGCTTTTCCACCTTAGTGAGCCCTGAAGGGACCCTCCTGCTCAGGCTCTTCTTCTTTTCTCCTAACACAGGAGATACACAAGAGCACCATGGTGCCAAACCCCAGCTACAGAGCCCAGCCCCTTCTGACCCATCCAGGGCTGGGTCTTAGCTCCCTAGCACTGAGTGTTACCAGAAAAGGCCCAGGGGTCCTTCCTATCAGCCTTTGCCAGAAACCCTGACCATACCAAGACGAATAAAAATGTTCATAGACAGGGTTACAAAAGAGGATTGACTGAGGGAGGGGCTAATTTGGCTATCCTTGGAGCCTTGCTGAGGTCCAGTCTAGACATCTGGCTGGGTGGTTCAGGCTGGATATGGCACCCAGGGAGTGTGGTATATAGGACATGAAAGAGATGTTTTAGTCCAGTGCTGCACTTTCAAATGCTGTGGACAGAGTTCTTCAGCCTCCTGGAATCAAAGACAGGGCCCATACTGGACTGTGCACGTGGCTCTGAGCAGCTGTCAGTAAACACCAGCACCACATCTTCCAACTCTAGAAACCCACATCTTCAGTAAGGAAGCTGGGAGCAGGCAGCAGGCAGCTGTAGAGCCAGATGGATCTCAAAGTACTCAGATGACTCTTGGGCATTCTCCAAGACCTTACCATTGAGCACACCTTGATCCTGCCCAGACTGTGGTATCCTGAAGCAGGCAGGTATGGGAGACATGGCAGAGTTGACCAAATGGGGCCCCACACACCAATTCCTTGAATGAAACCTGCTCACAGCTGCCCCTCAAGGCCTGCTGATCGAGAGGTGCCAAGTGCTTCCTTGGCAGCCTTCACCCCAGACACTGCAGCCGTACCTCCTTGTTACCGGGATCCCCTAAGTACCTGGGCTATGCTGTGGCAAGTGTGGAAGAGGATGGTGGGGTCAGGGTGCACAAGGCCATCTTTCAGGGTCAGGAGCCGCTCAGCCACATCGTCACGATGGTCTCGGGAGAAGCCTAAGGGCAGAGTTGACTGAAGCCTTGCCCAGTGATTCCAGGCTGACCCCATGCCCAACGTCTGCTTCCGCAGTCCCCACATCCCCAGCAGCGCTCACCCTCATAACCCAGCTGCAAGTACAGCAGGGAGTAGACACAGCCCACGGCTTCCTGGCGGGTGGTAGTCCATGTGTCGGCACACCGTGGAGCAAAGAGACCGACCAGGAGACCCAGATTGTGGAAAGGTACCAATGTCTGTGGGGAGATGGAAGGTGGAGGGGGCGGGGCTAGAGCGGGTCTGGAATAGCCAAGCACAGCCTTTCCTCTTCACGCCTAGCAAACTTTTCCTCTTCACGCCTAGTCCACCTGGTTCCCTACGCACAGAGTGGGGCACTTCTATTTGAGCCGTAGAAAAGCACAAGGACTCTGCTGACCCTACCACCACCCATGAGATGACTCCCTAGACGGTGAGTCTGTGGACGGGGGAGGAGACAGTGTAGTCCTTTATCCTGAGTGGGCCTCAGTCCATCTCTCAAGTTCTGCTCGCTGTATATAACGAGCCTCTCTCCCTCCTCAGAGCAGCCTTGCCTCCTGCCTGCCAGAGGCTGCAAACATCCCCACCCCTGCCCCCAGGACATACACCCCTGATCACCTCCGCTGTGCCCAGTTCAAAGGAAGCTAAATGCCCCTGAAACTCCACATCCCAAAAGCCACCAGACAAGAAAGGGGAATTTCAGGTCAGCAGTGAAAGGTTAAGGCAAGATGCAGACCTGGGAACAGGTGGCTGCTGTTCCTAGTATGGTTAAATTCATGTCAACATAAGCTGAAAGAGACTACAGTTATATATACCACACAAACACACACCCCCAAAACAAAGCAAGATTATCAGGAGAAAACGCCCATGATGATTTCAATAGAGGACAAAAAGATGTTTGTAAAAGTCCACTCTCTGTTCCTGATAGAGTTCTGATTAACACAGCCAGTGCCAATCAAAACTAAGTGGCTCAGCAATAAAGAGCTAAGCACAGCCTCCCGGGAGTGGCTGCTTCACCCTGACCTGAGTCTAGTGTAACCCTATCCATGGTAGGTCCTTGGTCCTTGTCAGAGACTAGGGAGGAAAGCAGCAGGAGGCCAGGGAGCCTGCAGGCTGTCCTGGGGCCACGCAGAGGAGTGATGGAGGGGCTGAGGTCTGATGGAGGGAGGGCTGAGTTCTGGTGGAGGGAGGGGTGAGGTCTGATGGAGGGAGGGCTGAGGTCTGATGGAGGGGGGCTGAGATCTGATGGAGGGGTGAGGTCTGAGGGAGGGTGAAGTCAGGAGTCCAGTACTCACACTGACATGCAAATGCTCCAGGAAGAACTCCAGCAGGCAGGCGCCCAAGCCAAGTGCTCGTGCCCGCTCATGACCCCTTGGGGACTTGATCCATGGGCTCAGGTGCTGCATGAGAATGGACCTGACACAGGTGCCTGCTGGGGGAGCAACCCAGGAGGGCAGAAGCCCACATCCCAAGTGGAACCCAGGGTGGCGCCCACATTAGAGTCTGTTGTAGCTCACCCCAGCCCACTCGAGATGGCTGAGAAAGATCCAGGCCTGTTAGGCACTGGATGCCTAGACTAGGGATTGGTGCTGCCCCAGCCACTGTAACAACGGAAGGAATGGGGAGAGCACCACAGTGGGCTGTGGGTGTTCTCATCTTGCTTGCCTCGGGTGGTTAGTAGATGGCAGCCAGGACTCATGTGGTCCATCCCGGCACTTGTAGTCAAGGGAAATGCTGCAGAGGCACTATCTGGTCAGAGCTGCCCAGGCAGAGGGGACGTGCTCAGACGCCCCTCCCCTAGAGGGACTATCAAACTGTCTCCATAGTACCTAACCACAGTGGGGGAGGGGGGCAGGAAAGAGGCCAGGAACTAGGTGGGATACTCAAACTCCACGACCCCCATCAGTATACACCCACAGCACACCTCTACCATGATCTGCAGGCCTTGGGGGGTCATGTTCTGCCGCAGCAGGCTGGTTAACAAGTCTTCAAGGGCACACACCGTGTCCTGATACAGAGGCTGCAAGGAGAGGCAGGACACCGGCCCATGCATGATCCCGCTTCTCTCAGAGGCAGGCCTCACTCCCACCCCACTCCCACCCCACCCCCTGCCTCCTTGGACATGCAATACCTCCTGGCAGATGCCGTCTTCTCCCTCAGGCTCAGGTGGCAGGGCCATGACACTGTGTAAGCAGCTATGGATCACATCTGCCTGAGCCTGCTCCTCCAGTGCAGGCTCCAAGTTGCTGAGCAACAGGTTAAGGGCACCAATAAATGATCCCATGGTATCTTCTCCACCCTGCTGGACCCCCAGAAACCAATGGCCTACATGGAGGCTCCAGCTACCATTATGTTCAGAATATTTCAGTTATATAATGCTGTCTAGACATCTGCATACAGACCCAGAGGCCCACTCAGTGCCAAGAGGCAGGAAAGGATACACCAGGTATGTGCAGGCAAGCATGGCTTTCTTCCGAATGGGTGTTCTCAGGCAGTCTGGGGGTTCAGCTCTGATGAATTCCTTGAGGAGGCAGCATATAACAGGCCCTCAGAGGAATCATTAGCCTCCTCCCTGATCCCTCTGTCTCTCCCATGAAGTGGGTGGTTGAGGCCTCTGAGGTGCAGGGCTCTTTCTATACCCATTCAACCCCAGGCTGCATGACTGCACACATGCCTCTGGCCTCCCCAGGTCCTACCTCCACTGCCTGCCTGCAGCAACTGCCCAGAACTCACCGTCATCTGTGCCATCAGCTCTGCTTTCCTTGAGAAGTGGAAGGAGCTGGCTTGTGCGCTGCTACACATGGCCTGGCTGACCATGCACAGGCTCTGGACGAGGCAGAGCTTCAGGGCCGGGTCCTGGGGGAACAGCTGGCTGCAGGAGGTTTGCACACCTGCCCCCAGAACTGCTGTATTCAGAGTAGCCGCTGAGCAGAGCCCAGCCTCAGAAGCTGGTGTATGCGCCCTTTCCTGAACAGTCAGAGATGCTACAGCAGCCTCCTGACCAAGGAGGAAGCTAGGACCTGGGGAAGTTCCAGGGCCTTGGCCCACAGGGGAACTTCTATGTGGTAGACAGCTTCATAGGAGTCATGAGAGAGGCCATTCTGAGAGACAGAGTGCCAATTCCCCTACTCCTATAGGCAGGGAAATAAGGAACTAAAAGAACCTCACCAATCCACCCACCCCCTCATCCCATGAGGCTCCCCACTCCTCAGGAAGAAACAATTGTCCCTTACAAAGGTCTGTCAGGTTAGAATCAAGGACATCACAGAGGAAGTATGTTAATGAGACCAAGGGAACCTCTGGCCCTTCTCAATGTTTCTGGGCTTAACTAGCTCTCCCCTAGGTGCTCTCTGGGGTCTAGAGAAAGGCAGCCCCAAAAGCATTGGGAACAGAGCCAAAGGAGCCCAGAGCTATTGCTGGGCTGTGGGGGACACCGCTGTAAGTGGCCTGTCAGCTGACTCTAAGGATGTATAGCCCAGAACCAAGCACCCAGAGGCAGAGAAGCCTCTCTCTGCCCTCAGCAGGAGCTCCCTGAAGTGCTGCTCCAGAGGGAAGTAGGCAGGAGTCTCAGAGCTGTACTCCAGGACACTTCCCCAGGACCATCATGGCCAAGAAGCCCGGAGAGCTCTAGGTTTGGCTCTGCCCCAAAGCCCAGCCCAGAGGAGAGAGAGAAAAAGCAGTTCACACATAGTTGCCATACACTATACCTTGGTCTCTACCTTTATTCCCAGAACCTAAACAACAAAGAGTGAAAGAAATTAAATAAATTAAGACTCTGGCGTTGTGTGACTGGCCCACACAGACAGCTGTGATGCCCACCTTGGTATTGAAGCACTGAAACATGCTGCGGAGGATGTCAGACTCGACTCTGGCCAGCACCAGTTCCCGAGGGGCCTGTGCAGCCACGTGCCCGTAGCACAGGATCAGAGAGCTCTTCATCCTTTCTACTTCGTGCTCACTTCGATCCTATGAGGCAGGAAATCGGCAGGAAATCGGCAGGAAATCGGCAGGACGGCAGTTACTCAATGAACTGCTCTCCCAGGGAGCCTTGCCTTGCCGTGTGCTTTCTATACTCTAAGACTCCTGGGATAGCCAGCGCCAGCTTGGAACACCAGGGGTAGCATCCAGGGATGGCAGAAGGGCAGCCTAGGTGCCCACACATGCCCACCGGGAACGCTTTGGTTGCGAGAAAGGGCTGAGGCAGTGGGATCAAGGAACAGTGGAAAGAAAGTGGAAGCGAACAACCCAAGAACTAGGGCTTGTAGATACAGCAGAAAAGGCAGCAGGGGTGGGGAGGTGAGCAGGGTGTGGGGAGGATTCTTCAAATCCAAGCAGCTACATGCGGCTGCACACCTTTAATCCCAGCACTCTGGAGGCAGAGGCGGATCTCTTTGAATTTGAGGTCAACCTGGTATACACATCAAGGTCTATGCTAGCCAAGACTACATAGTGAGGCCCTATCTCAAGATAGAAATAGAGGGGCTAGAGAAATGGCTCAGTGGTTAAGAACAGTTGTTCTTACAGAGGATCCAAGGTTCAATTCCCAGCATTCACACGGTGGCTCACAAACATCTACAATTCCAGTTCCAGGGGAGCTAATGCCCTCTTCTGACCTCAGTGCGTATCAGGTGCACAGACATACATGCAGGCAAAACACTGGTACACATAAAAATAAAATGAAAAAATAAATCTAGAAACACTTTAAAAGGTAGAGATAGAGGACGAGAAAGAAGAGAAGGAAGAGGTGTGTGGATCCTTGCACACCTGGGCCAGCACTCAGGTTCCATGAGCAAAGCTGTCACTAGACACAGAGCAAATGGTCAGAGCTGGGTGTGATGGGAGACGCTTAAAATCCAAGCACTTAGGGCAAGGGGCAGACAGCCTGGCCACAGAGACGGGGACAGCTTTGAGTTCCCCAGTTGTTGTGGTTCAGATAGGAAATGTCCCTAGAGCTCAGGTAACCCCAGTGCTGTAGGGGTTAGCAGAGAAACCTTTGAAAATGTCCCTAAAGTCATGTGTCCCTAGAGTAGCGGTGTTCAAAGACAGAAACCTTTGGGAAGTGACTGGTTCATCAATGGACTAACCTATTATGATTTGTAACAGTAGCAAAATTACAGTTCTGAAGTAGCAATGAAAATAACATTATGGCCGGGGGTCAGCACAACATGAGGAACTGTATTAAAGGGTCACAGCATTAGGGAGATTGAGAAGCACAAAAATTAACCCTTTGACAGACTCAAAGTATCATGGGGTTAACGGTGAGTGTGTTTCTTGGCCCCTGTGAGATGAGCAGCAATCTTGCCTTCCACCATGCCAATGGACCGGAACCTCTGAAACCAGGGGACAGAATAAATCTTCCCCCTTAAAGTTGGTTTCCTCAAGTATTTTGTCATAGCAACAGAAAACTGATCACCACAGAACCTTGCCACTTAGAACCCCTCTCATTAGCTACACTAGAGGTACAGCACTCCAACCAGCTAGGGCTTCTGGGAGGCCCTCTGCGGGAGGGGAGCCCCTCTGCGGGAGGGGAGCCCAGGCCCAGAGGAGGGAATGGAGGATATAAAGGGCTACAAAGCAAGGTGCTTTCTTGGTTGACTCTAAGCCTGAGGGAGCCCAGCCCTAGCCTTCATCCTGAGAGAGCAGAAAACCCACCCTACCGCAGACATGAAACATGAGGCAGCCACAGACAGGGATCAACTCACAAGGACACCGTTCTGGGTAATGCCCATCTTACCTTAAAAATGCTAAAGATGCTGGTGGACTTCCTAAACACGTCTGACCTCACAAAGTCCTCCAGCTGTGCTAGAGTGTCCTCAAGGTGGGTAATGGCACAGATCCCAAAGCAACAGGCAAGGCCCTGGGGAGTGCACAGGTGTGCTCACCACAGGCGCGCTCACCACAGGCGCGCTCACACTCGGGCATAGTGACCCACCTGCCCACATGCTGTGTGGGGAGGAATGAACGTCTACATCTACACAAAGTACCACGCACGCTGAATACATGCAAGCATACGTACCGAAGCAAGCAATGTGCCACACATGTAAGCATGTACCTATATGCTCACAGTACATGTGGCTAGCTGCCTGAGAGGCAGATGACATCCTGACAGCCCTGGGCACTAGGGACCACGCACCTCCTGCTCTGCCTCTTCTTGGTATCTGGCTGTCTCCAACAGCTCTTGGAGGTGTTTCCGTACCACCTCCTTACTGGAAGCAGCACCCAGTGTGGTTCCTATGCACTTATACAGGAAATTCTGGAACAAAGGTAGAGAACACAGACAAAGCTGACTCCTGAGCAGACGGACTCCTGCACTTTGGAGGGTACTGCTAATGGAGAGCTGTATTCTTTCTTCTTTCTGTTTTCTGAGATACGGTTTCACTGTGTGGTCCCAGCTGTCCTGGAACTAGCTCTGTAGACCAGGTTGGATTTGATCTCATAGATCTGCCTACCTTTCAAGTCCTGGGGTTAAACATGTGCACCACTACGCCCGGCCCCTCGGAGAGCTAGCTGTATTTCAAGCAGGACACAGGAAGGCCCATGAGGCCCTCCATGAGGACGGAGGGGTGAGCCCCAGGCTGTGTCTGAGGAACAAGTAGCCGGCAACAAATCCCCATCTCCCCGCTGTTAACTGCAGCAAAGAAGCTCCCAATCCTGCTTGCTTTTCCTGGCTTGGCCAGGGTTGCCAGAGTCAGGAGACAAAGACACAGACAGGCAAGATCAAAGACTCAAAGCATGGGAGCTGGGAAGTGGGTACTGTACAGAGATCCCTGACCCCAGCTAGCTTGTCTTGGGCACCTTCTCCTGAGGAGTCCCGCTGTAAGAGGGTAGTTGCTTGCACATCTCCTGGCTCAGCTGGCAGATCCATATGTTGTCAGATACCACAGCCAGGGTGTCTCGTAGGAACTGCAGATGAGAGAGTTAGTGAGGGCTGGCTGGGGGCCTGAGGCATGGTCTTGTCACATGATAACCTTATGGTGACTCCTGTTGATAAGTGATCTTTGAAGGTGGGTAGCTATGAGGCACGCTGAGGCACGCTGAGGCACGAATGGCTCTGATCTAGGCTGGGGATTGGGGAAGGAGGGAAAAGCACTTTCTGTGTCCAGGATGAGCAAAAGTCCCTCAAATTTGGTGCTGGGTGATAGAGGGTAGAATATCCTGTAATGGAAATCTGAGACCAACCGCCCTCCTCACCCCAGACTCCCACACTGCTAAGCCTATCCCCTAGTCACACTACCAGATGAAGTTGGGTAACAAGTCCCTGGGAAAGCACAATACACGGGTCCCATTTTGATGCCCCAGCCCTCTGTGCTCAGGCCCAGAATGTCCCAGAAAGGCACAGACAGGCTCTTGGCCTTCTGTCCCATCTCTCACCACTAGAAGCTTTTCTTCCCATTCCTTCAGTGACAGGGTTTCCTCAGTGTGCTCTGAAATTACCAATAAGCCCATTGGCTGGGGTCCTGCCAGGCAGGCTCATTCCAACATGTATTAGTGGGCCCTCCTTGTCTTTGGGAATTCCCAGGAGAAATGCAGAAATCAATCACTCCACAGTCTGTACCCCCTTCCCTCATGTCTCTAACCCCTTTCTTAGATTACAGCTTGGATTATTTCTTCCAGCCCTGATGACATACTGGGTGCAAGTGGGGTCAGGGGTGGCTAACGGGCCCCTTAGGCTCACTGGCCTTACCGTCCAGGTATTCTAGCAGCACAGGCATGGTCGTCTCCCACCGCTGGCCCAGTAAAGGGTGGATATTCTGATGCATAACCTTCAGGAGGCGCAAGGAGGCTGCCCCACGGCCATCTCCCAGGTAGGGATTAGAAGACACAACCTGAAGGAGGGGGTGGAAGGGGGCTGCCTAAGCATTGACCCGCCTGCACCTGCCAGCCACAGTGCCCAACCTGGGGACCAGCTTCCCAGGAGTGAAGGAAAACCAGCAAACATGGTGGCGGGGGGAGGGGGGCAGGGGAGCGGTAGAGAATGCCAATGAGATGGTGGCAAGGGTCACAGCCTGCCACAGAGCTGACAGGAACTCTGGGTAGAGAGCCGACTCTTCTATCAAAGTAAGCACGGTCAAGCTGACACCGGTGAGAATAGCCCATGAAGGACATGTCAGCCCTTGAGCTGGGACACAGCAACAGACTCTCTGCTTACCAGCAGTCGTGTGGTCAGAGCGAAGGGAGACGGGAGGTTTGCTGGACAAGAAACATGGAAACAGTTACAAGTTACAAGTTAAAGGATGGATCATATGCACAAGCAGGCGGCTAGGGTGGGAGAACTGGCAAAAGCAGCAGGGGGTGGGGGGCAGGGGGATCAGCAGGAGGGACGGGGCCAGGACAAGGGTGGAGAGCAGAGAGAGGATAAGGAATAAGGGCATGGCATTGGTGGGGTCAGCCAGGGGCACGGCGGTGGGGCCTCCACACCGTTCGAGTTGTACTGGAGGAGGAGATCCTCTGCCCCTGCCTCCTGTCTCTTCAGGGCTAGATGCACAAGGCTCCTGCAGAGCGGGGTGAGGGCCGCAGTGAAGCGCACCGGGGTGAGGAACTCGAGGAGGTAGGGCCAGAGAACCTGAAGGACAGAGGGCCACGGTCTGGACTGCAAGCAGGTGGGCATGGCCGCCAGGGCAGCAGAGCTGAGAGCTTGATCTCCACGGCTGTACAGGAGCGGGGCAGCTTTAGAGGGGCCCACGCTAAGACAGACAGTGTGTCCCGCCATTGCTGAGAGCTCATCTGAGCACTGCCCAGCCACTGTCCTCTCTAGGCCACACTCCCCGCTCCAGGCCAGGGACGGGGAGGGCAGGAAATCTCAGAAAGGGAAAGCTCAGGCAGCCCGCCTCAGGTCAAAGACACGCACACTCACGCTGTTCATCCTGTCCACTGTGGTGCTGACTAGGTAGAGGGTGCGGATACTGACTGCCCGCACACTGTCTGCCGCCAGCTCCTCCCCGTCAGGGCCAGGCTTCTCAGGCTGGGGGAAGAGGCAAGCAAGAGCATGCGTGGATGACTGTCCACACACCAGGGCTAGCATGAGAAGGGGAAAGGCTGGCAGAAAGGGAAACATGGCAGACTCACCAACCCTGACCCTGAGAGCATGTCTGTCAGCTCCCACAGGCAAGCACACCAAAATCACTCAAGAAAAGCTGGTAGGATGGCTCAGTAAAGTGCTTTCTGCGTGAGGCTGACAAGCTGAGTTTGATTTCGGGATCCAATGGACAAGGAGAGACCTAAAGTTGTCCACTAAGCTCTGTGTGTGGTCCATGGCATGTGTATGCCTGCATACACACACACACACACACACACACATGGAGACACAGACACACACAGAGAGACAGATACACACACAGACAGAGACACACACACATGCAGACACAGACACACACACACAGACACACACAGACACACACACAGACAAGACACACACAGAGAGACACACATAGACAGAGACACACACACAGACACACACACAGAGACACATAAACAGAGACACACACACAGACACACAGACACAGACACACACACACAGAGACACACACACATAGATACACACACACACAATCTCTCTCTTCCTCTCCCTCCATCTCTCCCTTGGTCTGTCCCTACGTCTGTTCTTTCTTGTTTCCTATAAGCTTCATGGATGGTTCAGCAAGTCAAGGCGCCAAGACACTTGCTGTCTTGCTGTCAAGCCTGACAACCTGAGTTAGATTCCCAGAATTTACATGGCGGAAGAAGAGAACCAACTTCTACAAACTGTCCTCTGACCTCCAAAAGGTGTCCCATCCATACATACTTGTGCATAAAATAAGTAAATATTTTTAATTTGGGGGGAGGAGGTAGAATATACACTTTAAAATTTTTTTTCTCTCAGGCTGGAGAGAGGGCTCAGTGGGTAAGAGCACTGACTGCTCTTCCAGAGGTCCTGAGTTCAATTCCCAGCAACCACATGGTGGCTCACAGCCATCCGTAACCCCAGGTCCAGGGAATCAACTGCCCTTTTCTGGTCTCTGTAGGCACCAAGCGTACATGTGACATGCATACATACATGCAGACAAGTATTCATACACATAGAATAAAAAAGAAATCTAAATTTTTTAAATTATATTTTAAAGGATAGAGAGTCCTGTTTGGGCACTGTATATAGCTCGGTGACAGAAGCACTAGAAGAAGACCACTTGTGGTGGTCTGGGGGAGAAATGTTGCCTATAGGCTCAGATATTTGACCACTCGGTCCCCAGTTAGTTGGTGTTGTTTGTGGAATCTTAGGAGGAGGAACCTTGCTGAAGGAAGGGTGCCACTGGGCAGGCTTTGAGTGGGCTTGCCCACTGTCTGTTCCCTCTCTGCTGCATGCTTGCATTTGAAGATATGAGCACTCGGATTTCTGTTCCTACCAGACCAGCTACTTGCTGCTATGTCTCTCTCACAATGGACTCCTATCCTTCTGGAACCAGAAGCCCAAACAAACCCTTCTTTCTGTAAGGTGCCTTGGTCATGGTGTTTTATCATAGCAACAGATTCAGAGCTGACCTTAGGACAATCTAGCTTTTCTCATTCCAAGAAGCCAGATCCAGAGCTTACAACCCAAGACCTGGAACGTTCACTGTTTACTGTAGGACTAGACCACCCACTCCAGCAACACGCGTTTCTGTACTAATGAACCCAGTGCACAGTGCACACTGAGCAAGCCCAAACGCCACTTAGCTCCACCCACCCGCTGCTTACAGTCTACGTCACCACGTCTTACCTTGCTCTCCTTTAAAAGAAATTGGTGTTTAGTAACTTTAAATAAAAGAAAGTCAAAGTTTCTGTCCTCTGCCTCTGCTTGAGTTGGGTATCTGTTGAGCGGACTCCCAAGATTCAGAGACCCTGACTCTGAAACCAAAGGGACCCTCAGCCCACGCGGCCCACACAACTGCCTGCTGCCAGGCCAGATGCTCTTGGTAACCAGTGCTAACAGTGCTCACGAGAAACCCAGGCCGAAGAGCCTGACACCCAACAGATCCAGAGACAGGTGGGTCCTTACCTCCTCGGCGGGTAGAGCACACTGCTGCACAATGTAATCCACCATCCCCTCACCGCCAGGCTGCTCCAGGTAGCCGTGGTGGGCCATGGCGCTGATCACCTGAACCACAGCCCGTTTCACCTGCCAGAACCAAGAGAAAGTCAGGAAGGGCCGCGGGAGCCACATCTGCACCCACACCTGCACCCACAACTGTATCAGCACCATATCCATGCCCATATACACCTACACCACGCCTGCACCCACACTCCCACACACGGGTTTGTACAGCTACACCATGCCTGCACCCACACTCCCACATACGGGTTTGTACAGCTACACCACGCCTGCACCCACACTCCCACACACGGGTTTGTACAGCTACACCATGCCTGCATCCACACTCCCACGCACAGGTTTGTACCGCTACACCATGCCTGCACCCACAGTTGCGGCAGCACTAACGCCTGGCTCCATGGAAGCTTGCTCAGCTCCCAGCTAGCACCCTTAGTCACTTGTGGCATGTGCAGCTCTGCAAGGGAAGGCAGAGCTCGGTTCCTGCTATCCCACACAGCTCCTCCCTGCCTCGAAGCCCTTCAGAAGTCACCTTATCTCACCAACTGCATCCTCTATGGGCTTTTACCAAGCTTCCTCCTCAAGTCTATGCAAACGGCTGTGAGAAAAGTCTGCTCCAAAGCACCCGGATCTCCAGCTCCACCTCCCACTCTACACTCACGGAGTCTTGGTGCCTAACCGACCTATCCCATCTGCACTGTTCATCTGGACCTAAGCTACAGCACTGGTGTCCTTCAGAACTGGCTCTCTTTTCCCATGGGAGCCTGCAGGCCACAAGGTATGGGTTCCATCTTCAGAGGGGCTGGAGGCTGAGTGCAGCCATGGACAGTCCAGCACATCCACGTGACAGGGCCATCGGTTCAGAACTCTGAGACTAAAGGATGACCTTGGTTGGCAGTACTCCTATGTGTGGTGCTAACACTGCCCTGCTCATAAAAGGTAATGGGAAGCTTCAGTTTGTCCCTCCTGAACTCTGTCCCAAGGGCTCTTTCCCCGCTAATTGCTGGTTTTGAGATAAGGTCCAATAATGTAGCCCAGGATAGCCAGGAACTCCTATCTCAGACTCCCAAGTGCTCAGATTACAGTCACGAGCTTCCCAGCAGATTTAAACCATCCCTGAGTTTAAAGTGATGAGTATACTGCTACCTGAGGGCTCTGAGTCCTTCTCGTGAATGGTGAGCCTCAGGGTGGCGCTGAAGCACTCGGGCCTATGACAGGCACCAGCCCTGAGGTGGCTTGGGTTCATTAATGGTTCACTAAGACAATGTGGAAATGCAGTCTGCTCACACTGCCTATGTGCATGTCTCCGACTGCATGCAACCAGAGACAGGAAGGACAGGAACTTCCAGTACTCTGGGTGCTCCTCCATCGGCGGCTCACAATGAGTAACCACCTGGTCTGTTCCAACAATGACCCAGGCTACCCTTCCACTGTACCTTATCCCCAGGCTACCCTTCCACTGTACCTTATTCCCAGGCTACCCTTCCACTGACTGTACCTTATCCCCAGGCTACCCTTCCACTGTACCTTATCGTTGGTGTCCAGAAGAGGCTGCCTCATGGAGGAGAGGATAAAGGGCTTCTTAGCTTCCATCTGGGCAGCTGCAAGAATCAAACAAGATGGTCTAGTCCCTGCTAACCAAGACCAGTCATTCTATCTACATCTACTTTGAAGACTAGGCCTCAAAGGATCTGGCCTCATTTGGTCCTCATGTAGAAGGAGAAATGGGCACAAAACCACTGCTCTGAGGGAGAAAAAAAGTTCCCAAATAAAATTTTACCTAATCCAAGGGGTTTAAATTCTCTTTGGGGTCCTTGTGCATGAAGAACTATGCTCTCCAATCCTGTGAGGCTGAAATGCAGTGTGCTGCAAACCTTGCAAGGCTACAGGAGGCACAGAGCAGAGCCCTGCAGATTGAAGGGACCAGGGAAATGCCTGCTAAACAGGAGCCCCAGACAAAGCCAGCTGAGAGATCTGTCCTGTCTTTTATCCATTGCTAACTGGTGCCTCCACTCTGAGAGCGCCCAGTTCTGTGTATGTGAATTTCGGCAAAGCTCGTTGTATTGCATGCCCTCTTGCCTTCCCTACTTTGCCTGGCCATATGTAGCTGGCTTCTTAAGAGAGTCACCTTTCAAAAGGATTATTCTCTAGCTCATTAAAGAAGAGGCCATCATGAAAGCACAGTACCAGTCAGAGGTCTAGGAAGGGCTGTGGGTGAGGCCAAACCAGCACCTAAGGAGCAGCTGTAATGTAGAGTACTGAGGCCCCTAGGAACAGAACTCAGATTCTGCTCAGATTGTGTTTTCTGCAAATCCCACCCCTCTTTCCTACAAGGCATTACATCACAGCGGCTTACAGTTGCATAGACATTCAAGGTTCATTTCTCAACCCCTGGGCTAAGCGAACAATGAATAGGATGATGAATTTAAAGGGGCTAGGGGGTGCTAGAGGGAGGGCTCAGTGGTTAGGGGGTACTGGAGGGATGGCTCAGTGGTTAGGGGATACTGGAGGGTTGGCTCAGTGGTTAGGGGGTACTGGAGGGATGGCTCAGTGGTTAAGAGCAAATATTGTTCTTCCAGAGGAAGATGAGTTCATTTCCCCAAACCCACTTCAGGTGGCTCACAGCCAGCCCCAGGGAAACCAGGCACGTCTGGTCTCTGCGGGCACTTACACTCATGTGTACATATCTAGGCAGACACACAGAGATATCATTAAAAATAAAGAAAAAAGAAAAAGGTAAAAACTGGCATGGGGCCAGGCGGTGGTGGCGCACGCCTTTAATCCCAGCACTTGGGAGGCAGAGGCAGGCGGATTTCTGAGTTCGAGGCCAGCCTGACGTACAGAGTGAGTTCCAGGACAGCCAGGAGTACACAGAGAAACCCTGTCTTGAAAAACCAAAAAACAAACAAACAAACAAACAAACAAACAAACAAACAAAACTGGCATGGGGGTACAGTTGGTAGCTCAGGGAATGAAGGTGCTGAGATGCCGACGCTCCATTTTAGAGCACCTGACCTAAGTCTGAACTCAGGTAGACTAACAGGCTGGTACCTAGCATTAGTTTCCAAGTTGTCCCCCAACAAAACCCAAGCCTAGCTCCAGTCTCTAGGTTACACTCCCAACAAGACCAGCATCTCCAGGTTATTCCCCCAACAAACCTGCACCCCAGGTTACAAGCCCACCCCTGCCTAACGACCACCAATGCAGAGGGGAGCAGAAATTAAGTTGATGATGTCACTCCCAGCACCAGCCAATCATGTTAAAGGCCACAGGAGCTTTCCAATTAGATGCTTACACACGTACTCCCTGCTTGCTGCTTACTATAAATCTTTGCCCCATAGATATTCAGGGTCCCCTTCCACTAAAACCATGTGACAGTGGTGCGGGGGGGGGGGGGCTGCTGAGCTAGCTCAAATAGAATAAAGACCCTGCAGTAAGTTGCATCAGATTGGCTCCTGGGTGTGTGTTTTGGGATCACTAACATTTCCCTGGCACAACAGTGCTTGCCATCAGCACTGGGAAGCTGAGTTCCATCCCTGGAACCAACATGGCAAAAGGAGAGAACCAATTCTTGGAAGTTATCTTCTGATGCACGCCCCCTCTTCATGGCACTCGCATACCCATGATAAGGAAATTGATTAATTAAAGGAACGTGATTTGAGCACATCTTTTTACAAAGCTAACTGGTTGGCAGTTGAGGCAATAAGTAGAAAAGTGGCTCAGATTCTGAGGAAGTCACGTCGGTGGCGCTGTGACTGAACTAGTGTCAGTCACCAGTCTGCTTAAAGTCTGGGTGTGTCTCACACGGTCCAGATGAACTGCTGCTGCTCTGAGGGCTTCTCTTGCTGAGAGCTAGAAATACAACTTTTTATGCCTAATACGTACTTACATACGTGCGTGTGCGTGTGTGTGTATTTTAATATAGGGTTTCTCTGTGTATCCCTGGCTGTCCTGGAACTTGCTCTGTAGACCAGGCTGGCCTTGAACTCAGAAATCTGCCTGCCTCTGCCTCCCAGTGTTGGGATTAACAGTGTGTGCCCCCATCAGACGCATCTCCTAATACTATAAAGAAGACTGAAATGGCCACTAAGTGCTTGACTACGCAGCAGACGCTAACCCTGGGATGATGCCCAGAACACTGGCCTGGCTCCTGTGCAATAAGAACACTCAAATTTGTGAGCTATTCTATATGTCTCTAGAGTGGATTTCACCTTTTGTGATAAATTTGAAATGAGAATTAGGAAGTGGCTATCACCGAATGTGATAAATGCCTGTAACCCTAACACTCAGAAGGAAGCAGGAGGATTGTGAGCTCCAGGATAGCTGAGAAAGCTGACACAGGAGGCTGGTATGTTCAAAACAACCTAGGCCATAGAGCAAGACCCTAGACCATAGAGGGTGAAGAGGCTGGAGAGATGGCTCGGCAGGTAAGAATTTGTACTGCTCTTGTAGAGACCTGGGTTCAGTCCTCTGAACTTACATCGGGCAGCACACAGCCACCTGTAACTCCAGCAGAGCATCAGATGCCTTCGACCTCCATGGGCACCTGCACGTAAACTCCTGCAGCTGCACGTACATACACAAAATAAATAATCTTTTTTTTAAAAGGAAATAGGAAAAAATGGGAGCACTGGGCACAATGCAGGTAATAACTGCTCGTGACAACGCTTTTATTGTAGAGACAGTCTGGTAATGCCATCCCAGCCGGGTGGTAGTAGCACACCCCTTTAATCCCACCACTCAGGAGGCAGAGGCAGGTGGATTTCTTTGAGCTCAAGGTTAGCCTGGTCTACAGAGAGAGTTCCAGGACTACCAGAGCTATTACATGGAAAAACTCTGCATCAAAAAACAAAGACAAACAAACAAACAGGCTAACATTGGGGATGGAGGCCTCAGAGGTAGGGCTGTGGCCCTGTGCTCCAGCCCTGCCCTAAGATACTCCTTGCCTCAGGCCCTATCTCCTCTCTAGCCACCACAACAAAGCCTGTTAAGGATCTTGGCAGTAATAACATAAAATACAGAAACATGAGAGGTCTGTCAAAGCTCAGGCAACAGAGATTCTCAATCTGCCCGAGGCAAATCATACAGTGTTTAGAAGAGGTTGAAGAATAGTCATGACCTTAAACTGAGGTAGGAATTTCTGTGAACGGAAGCTGAAGACAGTCACCAGGAAGTAGCAGCTTCCATGCTACAGGACGGAGCTCTTCACAGAGAGCTGGCGAGAGCCACAGGAGAGTGTGGCTGTGTTCAACACAATTACATCATTGTGTGTTGTGTCATCCAAGAAAAGTAAATGTAAAACCAGGCCTGGAGGGGTAGCCAAGCAGGCAGGGTGCGGGACTAGCACTCGCGGAGCTAAAGGTTGGATCCCAGCACTGAGTAAGAACAAGGACAGGGGGTGAACACCCAGAATCCCAGCACTAGGGAGGTAGAGGCAGGAGGATGAGGGGTCCAAGCGCATTTTCAGCTGTAAAATAAATTCAGGGCCAGCCTGGGATACCTGATATCCTGTCTTTTTTTTTTTTTCCAGTTTTTTCAAGACAGGGTTTCTCTGTGTAGCCCTGGCTGTCCTGGAACTCACTCTGTAGACCAGGCTGACCTTGAACTCAGAAATCCGCCTGACTCTGTCTCCCAAGTGCTGGGATTAAAGGCATGCGCCACCACTGCCCGGTGATATCCTGTCTTTTAAAAAAAATCAAATGAAACAAAAAACCAACCAAACAACAACCACAACAAAATCAATGGTCAGCTGAGCATAGTGGCTCACACCTCCAATCCCAGCACTTGGGAGGCAGAGGCAGACAAACTCCTGAGTTCTGAGTTCGAGGCCAGCCTGGTCTACAGAGTAAGTTCCTGGACAGCCAGGGTTATGTAGAGAGACCCTATCTCAAAACAAAACAGAAAAAACAAAAAAAAAAAAAAAAAACAAACAAATTGATGGCCAGCCTTCAATAATTGAGCCAAATAGATATATTATTATTTACATATAAAGACATATATGGTTACATATAAACACTTTTTTTTGTTTGTTTGTTTTTTGTTTTTGTTTTTTTTTGTTTTTCGTGACAGGGTTTCTCTGTGTAGCCCTGGCTTCCTGAAACTCACTCTGTAGACCAGGCTGGCCTCAAACTCAGAAATCCGCCTGGCTCTGCCTCCCAAGTGCTGGGATTAAAGGCGTGCGACACCACCACCCAGCACATATAAACTTGTTGAAGAGATGGCTCGGTGGCTAAGAGCACTGGCTGCTCTTCCAGAGGACCTGAGTTCAATTCCCAGCAACCACATGGTGGCTCACAACCATCTGTAATGGAATCCAATGCCCTCTTCTGGTATGTCAGAAGACAGCTACAGTGTACTTATATACATAAAATAAATAAATATTAAAAAAAAAAAACCATGTTGAAGATAAAGGTCTGGAGAGATTATTCAGTGGTTAAAAGCATTGTTTCACTTTCAAAGGACCTGGGTTTGATTCCCAGTACCAACATGGCGGCTCACAACCATCTGTAACTCCAGTTCCAGAGTATCAGACACATTCTTCTGGCTTCCTGAGCAGCAGAATGCACACGTCACACAGACATACATGCACACAAAACACTCACACATACAAAATAATGAAAAACCAAAAAAACGAAATCTAGGCACAGTGAGTGGTGCATGCCTCTAATCCTAGCACTGGCGAGCCAGAACTCTATGAGTTCAAGGTCAGCCTACTGTATTTAGTGATTCCAGGCCAGCCAAAATTACATAGTGAGACCCTGTCTCAAAAACACAAGAGCAAAAACAAAAAAACAAACTAAGCATAGCTAGCCTCTGGAATCTCAGGGCTGAAGACACAAAGGTCTCTGACTGATAAGGCGAAGAAATTTAAAATTAACCTGTGTCCTAGCTGAGACTCCCATTGAAATTTATCTTTGGATTCCTAGGGTTTCAGATTTCTCAGAGAGTAACAGAAGATGATGGTCAGCTTTATGTTCCTGAGTTACTATGCTGCTCCTATCTTTAAGTCCACAGAAGTGGTGCAAACCTGAGTTCAGAGCGCTACCTAGTGTTAAAGGCTAAGACAACATAAGGCACAGATGAAACCAGACTCCAGGAAAAGAATGTCTGTATGCTCCATCCTTGCCCTTCTCGGGGATTTTACTCGGGGATTTTGGGCAACCTTGGGAAAGATGGCTTGTTTGTTAATCTGGAACATATAACAGTTAAATAGTGGCTTCCTGCAAAACAAGTTACTCTGGCTAGGATGCCAAGGACTGGCCACACGAGGCATCTTGGAAAAACAGAATGAATTTACACCTAGTGGTGTAAAGACAAATGCACACCTACAACCTGAAACTCTGCTGCTAGTTACACGTCCACCTAGGCCTGCACAGGGAGAACAGAAACAGCAGCAGTCTTCATTGGAGTAAGAAACCGGAAGAACCCACTTACCCCTTGGAAACAAATGAGTACCTTAGAGATTAACTCACTATACATTTCACAGAAAAATAAGTCAGATACAACATGTTCCATACTGTGCAATTTCTCTTTCCTTATGCAACGTGCAAAACAGTAACACCTTCTTGTGCAGGAGGCTACCCTTCCTGACCTGGCAATGGCCCCTGGCACTGTCACCCGCTCTTTAGTCCCATCCAGGTGGAAATGATGGGCTGTGTTCTCACTGAAAACAACAGTTACTATCTGTATTAGTTCTGTCTGTGAGCTGTACTTCACAATAAAAATTTAAGAGCATCTCGAATCTGTAGTTATGAAGGTGAGAAGTTCTCTAAGGCAGTCTACAGGAAGAAGCAAAGCACACTATAGACTGTCTTCAGGTAGAGAAAATTCTGTTTCTTGTACGTAGACATTTCCATATGATATGCCCAGAGAAAGAACATGGAGGAAAAAAAATGAAATATAGGTAAACACAGAGTGTCTTCTGAAGTAAACTTCAATGAAAAATCATTTTACTGTAATGAAATCAATAAAAGCATCACACAGCTAGATAAAGACATCCAGTCAAATGCTGCTTGTGGTGGCGCTTGCCTTTAATCCCAGCACTTGGGAGGCAGAGGCAGGTGGATTTCTATGTTCGAGGCCATCCTGGTCTACAGAGTGAGTTCCAGGACAGCCAGGGCTACACAGAGAAACCCTGTCTCGAAAAACAAAAAGAAGAGTTGCCTTGGTCATGGTGTCTGTTCACAGCAGTAAAACCCTAACTAAGACAGGCACCATAGCCACTCTTTCCTGACCTCTGACAGGGCATGAATGGAATTCCCCAAACCACAAACCCATGTGTACAACTATGATTATCTTTATGAAACTTACTGCTAATCAAATACGTTTCCCTTAAAAGCAGGAAACTCGGGTCCGAAAGTGTTACTCAGAACACTTGCCCAGTATATGTAGAACTCTAAGTCCTAAATCTGTGGTGGTTTGGATGGAAATGACCTAACAGGCTTGTATATTTGCATGCTTAGCCCCCAGTCGGTGGAAGAGTTCTGGAATGATTAGGAGGTATGACCTTGTTGGAGGAGGTGTGTCACTGGGGGCAGGCTTTGAGGCTTCTAAAGCCCAGACCACTCCCAGTTATCAAATGTCTGCCCAGGAGCACTTGCTTTCCATTGTCTCCCACCTCCAAATGAACCTCTTCTTCTGTTAGGTTACCTTGGTCATGGTGTCTTATCACAGCAATAAAACATGGTTCAATTGTGAAGACCACCAAGCTAAAACACGATCACTATAATAATTCAAAGTAGGATGTTACACTCATCCCAACGATGGACACTACCCTGGTGCTTTCCCATACTGGGCATGCCGCAGCCACAGGAGGCACTCACCAGCCGAGTTGATGATGTGTCTCAGGATCTGCAGGGTCCCCACTCGGAGCCTCTCGTTGCTGGTGTCCAGCCTGGGCAGTAAGAAGGCCAGCAGACGGTCAGGAGAGCAGCCAGCTGCAGGGCAACATGCGCATCAGAGGCTGTCTGACAGTGTCTTTGCTCCTCGCTCCACACCTGCACCCTAAGCTCGCCAGGGCTGAGTTTGTTCACCTTGGTCGTTCTGTAGCTGGAGCTTCCCAGGACAGGGAAGGCAAAACACACTGTGGGGCGTTCGGGAGACTGAACTCCCTGGCCGTCAATTTCCCCAGTGTTTCTTTGAGTGGTGGGATAAAGGGAAGGGTCAGACTAGCACAGGAGACTCTAACACCAAAGAGTTGGCACCACATGTGAGACACAGACCTGGGGTCACCAGAACCAGTGGGCTCACTCCAACTTAATTCATGGGGAGCTCACAAGGGACCCCTCAGAGATCCTCCTGTTTCGGGGCTGGTCTGCAGCTAGAGACCCTGTACAGACCTCTAACCTGGACCTATATCATTGCCAATGGAAACCTTTTGGAAATTACCTTGGTGAATTCTCTCACCTTTGTGAACCGGTGTCAATGACAGTAAAAATTGTCCTCCTCCCCCCACACCCTGGGCCAGCTGAACCAGTCTCCCAGCCTTCCCTCCCTCCAGGCTCTAGGTGGGTGCTGATGTCACTGGTCTTCAGTGGCCAGCAAGTCACAAGCCTCTGCCTGACCCTCAAGCTGGCAAGCAGGCTGAGACAGGATACAGGCACCAGGGACAGAGCTGGTAGCCCAGGGTCTGACTGATCTAGACCAACAGGCCCCAGGTGACACACTGAACAATGCTGTAGCTGGGGGTCAGGTAGTGCCAGACTGAGGGCCAGAGCCAGGCAGCCACACGCAGGGATGCAAATGTGCAGGAGGGTCAAAGGAGGAATGTGTGGGGTGGGAGCCAGAAACCTCTAGCCCAAGATACGCAGAGCTACAACACACATTTCAGTGACGATCAGGTACTTGCAGGCCCTAACCTCTCCTCAGCCTGGGCCAAGCACCCATTACCCCCTCAAAGAGGACAGCGGACCAGGCTTGATGGCACACGACTGGAACTCTGGTATTTGGGAGTCCGAGGCAGAAGGATCATGAACTCATGCACTCAAGGCCAGCTGAGCTAAAAGGGCAGCTTTTTTTTTTTTTTTCCTTCCGATCCCGTTTGTGCGGGGTTTTTTTTTGGGGGGGATTTTTTTCTGTTTTTTTTCGAGACAAGGTTTATCTGTGTAGCCCTGGCTGTCCTGGAACTCACTCTGTAGACCAGGCTAGCCTTGAACTCTCGAACTCAGAAATCCGCCTGCCTCTGCCTCTGCCTCCCAAGTGCTGGGATTAAAGGCGTGCACCACCACTGCCCAGCTGATTTTGTGCTGTTTTTAATAATTAATAATAATAATGACAATAACAACAACAACAACAACAGACAGCTGGCTCAGACATGTCCTCTGAGGCCTCCTTATACAGAAGCCAGCACCCAGGCCACCACTCACCCAGGACTGTGAAGCAGCGAAGCACCTCCTTCTGGCTGTTCATCACCAGGGGGCTCGAGGACTCCACAGGCACGCAAATCTGCTCCAGGAGACAGGACAGAGGTTATGGTGACAGACTCACTGTCATGGCAGGGCCCTGCTGTGCAACAGGTAGGTGGTCCTACCTCACCTGAGGGGGTACTGGAAAGGTATTTTTGTCCTTGCTGCTTTTGTTTTTTCAAAAAATTTTAAAGGGGGGGGGCGCTGGAGTGATGGTTCAGTGGTTAAGAGGTCTAGCTGCTCTTCCAAAGGCCCCGGGTTCAATTCTCAGCACCCACATAGCAGCTCACAGCTGTAACCAGAGTGGCAGTGGACTTGAAGCCTCTCCTGATCTCTGTGGGTACCATGCACATGGTACACAGATAAACATGTGGGCTAAACACCAATCATGCAAAATAAAATAATTTAAAAATAAAATAATCTAAAGATTTTATGTGTATGAGTGCTTTACCTGAATGAATGTATTACTGGACACTTGGGGGCCAAAGAGCATGGGAAATTCCCTTGGACTAGCGTTAGACAGGTGTGGGCTGTCATGTGGGTACTGGGAGTCAAACCCAGGGCAGTCTGCAAGAGCAACAACTATCCCTAACCACTGAACCATCTCTCCAGCCTATGCTTTTGTTTCTTTTGAGACATGATTCATGGAGCCAAGGCAGGCTTTGAACTCGTACCTTCCTGCCTCAGTCTCACTACTGTAAGCATGTGCCACCACACCTGAAGAGGTAAGCAGTATTACATCCCGGCTACAGTTTTAGTGCTAGTTGTAATTTCTTCCCTCAGTTTTTTTTTTAGATTATTCATTTTATGTATATGAGTACACCATTGCTCTCTTCAGACACACCAAAGAGGGCGTCAGACCCCATTGCAGATGGTTGTGAGCTACTATGTGGGAATTGAACTCAGGACCTCTGGAAGGGCAGTCAGTGCTCTTAACCGCTGAGCCATTTCTTCAGTCCCCCTCTTTTGGTTTGTCTTTTGAGATTGATTCTTTCCACATAACCCTGGCTGTCCTGGAACTCACTATGTAGATCAGGCTGGCCTCAAATTGACAGAGATCTGCCTGCCTCTGCCTCCCAAATGCTGAGATTAAAGGAGTGTCCGACCACTCTCAGCCTAGCAAGTTCTTTTTTAAGGATTTCCTTATTTTCAGCCTGTGACATTGTCACATGCCTTTGATCCCAGTTTGTGGCCAGAAGCCTTCTGATCTACAGGGTGAATTCCAGGACAGCCAGGACTACACAGAGAAACCCTGTCCTGAAAAACAAAAACAAAAAAAGATTTATTTTATATGAATTTTATTTTGCGTGTGTGCGTGTGTGTACCAAATGTGTGCCTGGTGCCAGCACTGGACCTTTTGGGGTCACAGGTCATGAGCCAACGTGTGGATGCTAGAAACTGAACTCAGCTCCTGTGGGGGAGCAGCAGGTAAGGCAAGCCACTGTCTCTCCAGCCTCCAGCACCAGTACATTCTTTTTATTTATTTTTTTGGTTTTTCAAGACATGGTTTCTCCGTGTATTCCTGGCTGTTCTGCAACTCTCTCTATAGACTAGACTGACCTCGAACTCAGAGAGATCTGTCTCCCAAGTGTTGGGACTAAAAGCATGTGCCACCACCAGAATGCTCAATAAGTTTTTTTTTAAAGAAAGTATTCACTTACTATCATTATTAGTGTGTGTTGGGGGTTGGGGAAGAGGTACCTTCTTATGGTACCTAGGTAGAGACCAGAGAACACCTCAATGGAGTCAGCTTCTCTACCTCTGTGTGGAGTTCCAGCATGAGTGGCAAGCAACTTTACCCATGGAGTCAGCTCATGAGCCCAGTGCTAAGTTGTAAGCCCCCCTGATGTTGGAAGATGAGGCAGTTTGATTCCTTAACTGGCAACTTTTAGATTCTCCCCTGCTGTAAAAATGACATTAGCCAAACAGCCAGACATGCTACTGACCCTTATGAACCCTCCACAGATACCATGAGGAAACTACATGCTCTGGTTGTTTGCTCTGGCTCTTGAAGCTACAGACCATGTCAGAACTATTTCAGAGCTTACACTGGACTTTGTTAGAACAAGGCTTAGAGAACTCTAATGATCTTGCAACCGCTTCTACCTGGGTCAGAGAGGAAACATGTCCTTTGGTGGCCTACAAAAGTGCTGTGATGGTGCTAACGGGCTGAGACTATGATTTCTATGAACACCTTTATTTGCAAGGGAAGTTGGCTCTGATTGGTTTAAAAACTTCTCTTCTGGCAATACTACATGGATAAGTAAGATGCTTGAGTCATTTGGTGAATCAGCTGAGAGGCACCCAAATGCTCTGAGTAACATGGCGCCCAGTACAAGGCCTCCCTTGAGTGATCTTTTCTGGCTTGCTTTTAGTAATTGGGCCAAGGTGACAGGAAGCCATAGCAGAGAACGCATCACGGGAACAAGGGCAGAAGCAGCAAAGCGGCGGCAGTGGTGGCTGAGCTCAAACTGCCCAGGCAGCTGGCTGCTCACAGCTGCAGACAGGCAGCTCAACAGCTGGCAGAAGGGCCAGAGCCAGAGCACGACCACCAGCTCTAGCAGGGAGGGCAGAGCTGAGACTGAAGACTAGTAGAGCCACAGGAGAGTGTCTGCAGGCCCTGGATCTAGAGAGCTGGCCAGCCTTTAGGGCTGAAAGTCTCACTCTCCCCAGGCCCAAGAGCTGTAAACAGGCTCTGGGTAAGGTCCTGCTACTCAAGGCCTGAATGAGAGCTACAGTGTTAGAGGCTGTAGCCTGCTTCTGTCAAATGCTGAAGGATACAAAAGCTGCAACAGGGTCAGGTGTGGTGTAGTACACCCTCGTAATTCTGGCATTCCAGAGGCAGAGACAAGGAGTCTTATGAATTGAGGCCAACCTTATCTGTATAAGACCCCATCTCAAAGAAAAAAGTGTGTGTGTATGTGTGTGTGTGATTTAAATTCAAAAAACAAAACACAAAAAACCAAACAACAGAACTGCCCGAGCCTACCACATGACAAACGTCTTGCCTATGCACAATTTCTGTCGTGGTCAACAAAAGGAAGCCAGGCAGCTGACTGGAACAGGACACCTTTGCCCACAGGACATGAGTGAAATTCTGGGCTCGGTTCTCCAGAGAGTTCATTCTCTAGCCCTTCCTCATCCAGGAGCAGGGATGTGCAGATTTTGACAGCAGGACACATCCGTATCATTGAAGGGGATTTAGAGGCCGGCTTCTAGTCCCATTCTGTTGGGGGTGGGAAGGGAGGAACAGTACCATACAAACATGTAACCAAGCCCTTGGGTCTCAAGCAAACAGATCTGGGATTCTATCAGCAGTAGAATAAACTCCAAGGAACACATTACTGGAAAAGTGTACTACATACCAGTTATTTCTAGAATAAAGCATTCATTCATTCAAAACAAGAAAGAAAGACAGAAGGATCAAAGGAAAGAGAGGAAGGGAAGAGGGAAGAAGAAGGGAAAGAGAGAACCAGGGAGTGGGGAGGGAGGGAAGGAAGACGATATATATTTTTTTGGAATTATCTCTTGCCTCCAAAGAGATTAAACTTTTGCCAGACTATACAGCCAAGTTATTCACATGCCTTGAGATCATTTAAGACCAGCTTAGAGGCTAGAGAAATAACTCAACAGTTAAGGGCTATAGTGGCTCTTCCAGAAAACCAAAATTTAATTCCCAGTATCCAAACAGTGGCTTACAGCTAGCTGTCTGTAACTCTAATCTAGTGGGACTCAACGCCCTCTTCTGGCCAGTATGGGTATTGCACATACCTGGTACACAGACATACAAAGCATGCAGGCAAAACACTCACGGACATAAAACAAAATATATACATCTTAAAAATATTTTAAACACTCATACTAATTAAAAAACAAAACACTGTGTTCAATCAACTATACTCAGCCTATTTAACCTGCCTTTCAGAGAACAATGTAACCATCCTTACATCTTGGATTTCCCGTCATCAGCTTCTACAACCGAAGATAATGTATAGCTTTAATCTTGAGCTATGAACTCTTCCCAGAATGCTCCTGACCCAGAATAATGTATGTTGTGGTAATCATTTGCTGAAAGCAGCCAACAGGTTGAAAGTAATGGTAAGCAAGACAAATGTCCCATAAAGTGGATATAGGTTGATAACATCTGTGTGGTTTTTGGGTGCTATTCAGTGTCAGTAACTTCTTCCCTTGTAAAACTGTTAAAGATTTCTGAAAAAAAAAAAAAAGTCCTTCAATCCTTTCCCATATCATTTTTTCTTCTGTTCAGTAAGTACAAAGCAAAGAACATTATTAGGGACAGACACGGAACAGAAACACACACCAGAGGCAAAACCAGAGGCGTCGGGGCCATATCAAACACACACAATGGGTAGGCCAGTAATCACAGACTACAAACAGCAGACACAGGGGAAAAAGTAGTGAATTCAAATTTGGATTTGCTCTTGGTCAAACTATACCAAGAAAAAGTTTCTATTTTTATTCAAAACACACACAATAAACTTTTCTTAAAAAGGAAGATCTATTTTCCTTCAAAATGCATGATTCTGTTGTGGGTTTGTTGTTGTTGCTTTGTTTGTTTGTTTGTTTTTCTTTTTTTTCATTTTTTTCTTTTTTTTTTTCGTTTGTTTGTTTTTCAAGACAGGGTTTCTCTGTGTAACCCTGGCTGTCCTGGAACTCACTCTGTAGACCAGGCTGGCCTCAAATTCTCAAGTGCTGAGACTAAAGGTGTCACCCAGCAATGATTTTTTTTTTTTTTTTTAAAGAAAGTCTCCTTGAACCACCAAAGCCCCTCTCCATCTTCCTACTCTCCTTAACCACAGTTTCACAGAGTTGTGCTCCCTTGCTGGGACACACCGTGTTCAGCAGCTTTCTCAGTCTTTCTGACCCTCAGGGAAGATGCCCAGCCAGATGCTCTCTCATAGAAGTACTTCCTACACTGGAATCTTGTGTCTCAGGATATGGGATGCCATGTCTCTCCCCTCTCTTGCTTGGTTCCTGAGGTAACCAAGGCAGCCTCAGGCCTCTGCTTACCACTACCTTTCAGCGGCCATGCTGAAATTCCTCAGGACGTACTGAGGCAGCAGCCCTCAGTGCCACACTACAGCCTCCATCCAGGGGTTCCTGTATGTGGTGATTTGACTTCAGTGCCACACTACAGCCTCCATTCAAGGGTTCCCATATGCAGTGATTTTTTTTTTTTTTTTTTTGGTTTTTCGAGACAGGGTTTCTCTGTGTAGCCCTGGCTGTCCTGGAACTCACTCTGTAGACCAGGCTGGCCTCGAACTCAGAAATCCGCCTGCCTCTGCCTCCCGAGTGCTGGGATTAAAGGCGTGCGCCACCACCGCCCGGCCATACGCAGTGATTTGACTTCAGTGCCACACTACAGCCTCCATCCAGGGGTTCCTGTATGCAGTGATTTGACTTCAGTGTCACACTACAGCCTCCATCCAGGGGTTCCTATATGTGGTGATTTGACTTCAGTGTCACACTACAGCCTCCATTCAGAAGTTCCTGTATGTGGTGATTTGAGTGAGACCGCTCCCCATAGGCTCATGTGCTTGAATACTTTCCCAGTTGGTGGAACTGTTTGGTAAGGATTAGGAGGTGTGGCCTTGTTGGAGCAAGTGTTGTCCCTGAGGGTGAGCTTTGAGGTTTCAAAAGACTCACACCATTTCCAGTTAACTTAACTACATCTGGAACCAACTAAAACCTAAGCAACTGTGGACTGGAGAGATGGCTCAGTGGTTGAGAGCACTGGCTGCTCTTCCAAAGGCCCTGGATTCAATTCCCAGCACCCACATGGTAGCTCACAACCATCAGTAACTCCAGGTCTCGGGGATCTGACATCCTCTTCTGACCTCCACAGGTACTCATGGTGCAGACATGCATACAGGCAAAACATCCATATGTATATAACAAAAAAAATAAAACAAGCAGCTGGGTTTGACTATGAAGAATTTTCTTGATTATATCATCTGAGGTGGGAAGATCCGCACTGAATCCAGCCACACCTTCTGGTAGCAGGTTACTTACATAAAAGGCCACGGATGAAAGAGGCTTTGTTTTCTACCTGTTTGCCCTCAGTCTCACTAGAAAGTTGTTTGTTTTTTTTTTAATTTTTTTGGGGGGGATTTTTTTCTTTGTTTTTTCGAGACACAGTTTCTCTGTGTAGCCCTGGCTGTCCTGGAACTCACTCTATAGACCAGGCTGGCCTCAAACTCAGAAATCCACCTGCCTCTATCTCCCAAGTGCTGGGATTAAAGGCGTGCGCCACCACTGCCTGGCCTACTAGAAAGTTTATCTGTCCTTTTCCCAAAGCATTCCTTCGCTGGTATTAGAGTCTCCTTCCTCAGAATTCCAGCATAAGCTGAAGACTGGCAGCTCTCTAGCACTTCCTTGGGACTGACTCCAGCATTAGACTGGGACACTCAGTCTCATGGACTTAGCAACTGCTGGATCCCTGGCCTTTCTGTCAGGATACAGACAGTATTGGACTCCTTGGACCACAGCCTGTAAGCCATGCTAATAAATCACAGACAGACAGACAGACAGACAGACAGACAGAAGCCTGCACAAGCATGTGCATGTGTACACACACACACACACAGACACACACACACACACACACACATATTCTAACAGTCCTGATCCTTTAGAGAACCCTGACTAATACAGCCTCCTCCTTGTAAATCATGCTATGAGCTCTCAGCTGTTCCTGTCACCACGCCCTTGCCTGCCATCATGGACTCTCTCTGAAATTTTAAGTCCAATTGCACACTTTCTTTTACAAGGTGTCTTACTCATAGTATTTTGTCACAGCAACAGAAAAGAAACCAATACACTGCATTGCACAGATGATGCCTCGTGTCTGGAAGCCACACCCATGTGGTGCTCAGGAAGCCCGCTCCACAGCTGTGTGGCTGAAGCACCTATCCCACTTCATGCTCCCTGTGTTCCCACTAGGCAAGTCACTTTGAGAAGTCCATCACTAGCCGGGCAGTGGTGGCGCACACCTTTAATCCTAGCACTTGGGAGGCAGAGGCAGGCAAATTTCTGAGTTCGAGGACAGCCTGGTTTACAGAGTGAGTTCCAGGACAGCCAGGGCTACACAGAGAAACCCTGTCTCGAAAAACCAAAAAAAAAAAAAAGAATAAAGAAAAAGAAAAAGAGAAGTCCATCACCACGAGGTCCGCCACCCCAGGTACTCATCCCCAGCCTACCTGAGCATGAAGAGCCGCCAAGAGGGCGTCCAGCTGAACCTCCAGTGTGCGGCTGCTCACGTTCACAGCTGCCTCCAGAATCTGGCCCAGGCTCTGTTCAAGACAGGGAGGAGATGGCTTCAGTCCACTTCCTGCCCCCCAGGAGGGATGAGGTCCAGGAGAACACCAACACCCTTTAAGACCCAAATGAAGAAGCTCTACCTTCACCTCCAGAATTTGGGGGGTACACTAAGAAACTTGTTTTCTGGGTCACAGGTCACTATGGAAGGTAGAGGGCGAGTCCCCAGGCTCCCATCCGGTGCATAGCAGAGAGGAGGCCGTCCCTCTCATAACCCAACACAGTATTTTAAGTTAGGGTTGTTTCCACAGGGTCTGATCTGAGGGGTCCCGGTGTCACTGCGCCCTCCCGCCCTGTAAATACCTTCGATATCTGAAAGGTATCTGCATGCTTCTTGTAGAGGCCGAGTACTGCAGGGAGGAGCTTAGGGAGCTGCTCTTCCAACCTCTCACTGGGAAGCAGGTGGCTCATGGGACCCAGAGCCGCTACCACGGCAAGCCGGAGCTGAAAGGACAGCAAAGGCCTCCCTGTCTACTCCCGGCCCTGACCCTTACGTCTACAGTTGCCAGTGCATCTATGCGGCAACTGTGGCAAGAGGTCAGACGCTGCCCAGCAGGACACAGTCTCAGGGCAGAGAGTGGACAACCACAGGGACCTACAATCACAGGCCTCAAGACCAAGCTTTAGAACAGGTTGCCTCTGGTTGGATGTAGGAGCTCTTTATCACCTCCTAAGCACTGATCATGGGCAGGGAATCTGGGCCCCCTTCTCCCCTTAGGACCACTCAGGCAGAGAGAAAGGGCAAAGGGCAAAGGCAGAAGGAGGCCCTGATGGGTCATGGCTGTACCTTGGTATCTCGGCTCTGCAGCCAGTGGTGGAAAAGAACATCATAGGCGCCAAAGATGTCAGCACCAAAGGTGTCCTTCCTGACTGTGGGGTCTGGGGCTTGGTCCAGGTTGGCCAGGTATTCCAGGATGCTTTCACTGAAGTGCTGCAGAGCTGTGAACACCTCACAGTGAGCAACTCCTGACAGGAACCACACTGGCTTCCCAGTGCTGCCCATGAACTCTCAAAACAGTCTGCACAGTGCTAGTCCGGCACCTGGCCCAGAGGGAGATCCCTGGATACTTAGGGTAAACAGAGCACGCGCACACACACACACACACACACACACACACACACACACACACACATCTGTATCTTTCCTGAAACCCGAGAATAGGGCCTTCTGTGAAAACAGGATGACTACAGGTCTGTCAGGACAAGGCCTCATATAGGAGAGTGGTCCTAACTCTTCAACACAGAAGCAATGGGGAGAGGTCAGCCATAGGTAACAGAAACTAATGGTGGGTGAGTGAAAGCCGAAGCCCCGGAGGCCACGATGCTATCGAAAGAGGTTCTCGCTCTGAGCCCCTAGGAAGGTGCCCATCCACCAACACCCGGACCCAAGGTCCCTGCAATAACCTTATCCCCATGTCTCCCCCTGACAAAAAAAAAAAAAAGGAAGCACTGTGTCCCCTCCCCCAGGCTCTTGCTACATACACCACAAGGGCTGTCAGGCCCAGTGAGAGGGCAAGAAGGAACAGGATAGAGGTTCCAGGTCTAGATGGATGGGCACAGGATGCAGGACTATTACTCGGGGTCTTCCTTGGCTATGCCCTGGGATCTGAATGGGGACACAGCTGGGTAGAGCAGAGGCTCTGAGTCACTGCAGGCATGCATATGAGAGGTCCTCTCATATGAGAGGTCCAAAGACATGGCTGGGATTAGAGCCCAAGACACAGGTCTGCATCTGGGCTTCGGGAGAATACAGGAGCAGGGGTGGGCACTGAGGCAGAAATCTCTGTGCTCCCCACCTTCTGGAACCAGTCAGCCTATCAGGGGCTCACATCCTGCCAAAGCTACCTTCACACAATCCAAAACCTCCTGACTGATGGAGCACGGGCAGAGCAGTAAATGGGGCATCCTAATGTAAATGCTAATTCTCAGATTATTAACAAGAACCTGGAAACTGGCCCTATTCTTTCTGCACAGCTGTGGCTCAGCCCATGTCAGGGACAAACTGTAGGATGCTCCTGCAGCCTTTGTACAGAGAGCCATAGGGACATGGCCTTGTCCACAGGATTCTCAGCTACCTCCTCTCGCCTCACTACTAAGCCCAGTGACCACAGTGTGCTGTGGCTACTTTGTAGCAGGTGTGCCCCTCACGTGAGCCTGGGAGTCCACCATAGCTGTGTGAGTTTCCCAACCCTTCTGAGCCCTCAGAGTTGTGAGTCCCGAGTGTGAGCCTGGCTTTACCACACATGCTATTCCCTGCATGGCAGGCTCAGAGTCACGGGAAGGAGATGACATTCTAGATGTTCAAGCTTCTCCAATAGTACCTTACTGCATCACTATTCTGGGATGGACCACGTTGGATCTGCTGTACTTTCTGGTACGAGGAGTTTCATACTTCATGAAGAGAGATGGCTAGCAAACATGTCTGCCGCCTGTTTGACCCTATTCCCTCTCTCTTGATCCTCTGAATCTCAAAGGCTCTTGCCTTTGAGTGGGTGCTACCCCCAGGATATCTATACTTACACCCTGCCCTGTGTCCATTCTTCTGTATAGTGACATGACCCACATCTCTTCAGTAGAAAATTTAGCTTCTTCTTGTTTGTTTGTTTGTTTTTTGTTTATTTTTCAAGACAGGATTTCCAAACTGTCCTGGAACTTGCTCTGTAGACCAGGCTGGCCTTGAACTCAGAGATCTGCCTGTCTCTATTGTCCAAGTGCTGAGATCGAAGGCATGTACCCCTACCACCCCCCCAACTGGAATTTTTAATTTTTTTTTGTTTTTTGTTTGTTTGTTTGTTTTTGAGACAGGGTTTCTCTGTGTAGCCCTGGCTGTCCTGGAACTCACTCTGTAGACCAGGCTGGCCTTGAACTCAGAAATCTGCCTGCCTCTGCCTCCCAAGTGCTGGGATTAAAGGCATGCGCCACCACCGCCTGGCGAAATTCTAATTTCTTATATTTTTATTTGGCCCTTTTTTCCCCTCACAGAATTTGTTTTTTTCTTCTGCCTTGTTCCTTCTTTTATCCCTTCATTCGGCTGTCTCATAGCATGCAATGGATCATCGAGCCTGCTCTGTGCTAAGTGGATATACAAATGTTCCAGGCTCATGCTAAGACTTCAGCCCTTAGCCGGGCGGTGGTGGCACACGCCTTTAATCCCAGCACTCGGGAGGCAGAGGCAGGTGGATTTCTGAGTTCGAGGCCAGCCTGGTCTACAGAGTGAGTTCCAGGACAGCCAGGGCTACACAGAGAGACCCTGTCTCGAAAAACCAAAAAAAAAAAAAAAAGACTTCAGCCCCACAGTCAGTGGCGTCCCAGCCAGTGCCCAGGGCAGTCTTGGCTGACCACGGGTGTCTAGAGGACACACCTGACTCAGCTCCCTGTGAAGCAGAACTCAACCGCGGCCTCCTATCTAGTCCAATAAGAGAAATAAACTTGAACCATCACCGATGCAGGGAGACAGCACAGCTAAAACTTTTAAGACAGACAACTTAAAAGAAATGAGAGAAAACCACCCTCCCATCAGGACCCCTAAAGAAATGCTCACTGCTTAGCCACTCTTTTCCTGAAGATGGGCCTCAGGGTGTTTGGTTCAGGTAGGCAAAGGTCTCAACTTCCTCACTCTTGGCTGCCGACATTGAGACCAAAGGGCCGGCAGACAGCAGGAGCCGTCTCACTCCTCAGCTCCTCTCAGCCCCAAGGTTCTTCCTTCAGAGCCAAAAGATATTAGTCAGCGTGGTCTTCAGGGGCAAGACTGTTTTTCCAAGTAACAGGTAATCGTATTTCCAGATGTAAAACCCTCACGACTTGTTACATTTGATTTTTAATGAGTTGCATACACTCAGAATGAAGGAGGTCCACTCTCCTGATGCCAGAGTCCTTTTCCTAGGAAGCAGCCAGCAGCTGGGTCTTCTGAGTAAGTGTCACTGGTTCTCCCACTGCAATGTGTCTTCCTTTTGTACCTGCAGCCTGCAGCCTGCACTCACAGCTGGCCCCTCACAACCACTGATATTTCTAGTGCAGCTCTGCCGTCCCTGCAGTCAGATCCTCTTACACCGGTGTCTGCTTGGCTCTGTGGGTGTCACCCATGCAGCCCTAATACCCCACAGCTTTGAAGAATGACAACACTGGCCACTCACCCTAGCCTCTTTCCCCCATATAAGACTGCCATCACCTGGGCACTCTTTGTCTCAGCCTAAGCTACCTCTTGGTGCCACACCCTTACCCTTCGACTGCTCTAGGGAAGACTGGATGAAATGCATGCCCAAGACCTGTTTCTCTGAAGAGCCTTTGCTTTGTCCTCACAGGCAGATGGCACTGGGAGAGTTAGGATTCAGTGTGTAGACTTCAGTCAGAGCTGTGGAAAACTGCCAAGTGGACTGGCACTCCTAAAGACCAGCTGTGTCAGTTCCTTACCAGTGTCCAGGGCATGTAATACTATACTACGGTCTTTGTGTCTGTCTGCTGCATCTTCCAGTCAGGGACCTGAGGAACTTTAGACATGCTTCCGTCTCTTTTCCAGGGGTCTGTCACTGGGATGAAGGCTCTGTGGTCTTACCCACTAACCCTTTCTTCTCTGTTTTTTTTTTTTTTCTACTTCCTACAACTCTGGACTCGGCCATTTTCCCCAGAAGTTTCTTGAACCACCAGCTGTTCTATGATACTTTTCATTTTTCTCGAAGTATTTCTAGAAAGCTTGGCTTTATTCTTCTTGATTGTAGCTCCATCACGGATGGTGACATGCTCTTGCTTCCCAAGTTCATCCTCCCTCTTATCTTCCCAGGATGCTAGTCACCAGTCCTTCCTTTTAGTTATCCTTTTCTTTACCCAACCTGCTGTTATCCCCAGGTCACACTTCCTGTTAATTTGGTTGCCACTTTCCTACTTGACTTTCCTCAGAAGTGGGGCTTATCTGCTGCCCGCCATTTGGGGCCGCAGGCCAGGCTGCCTACAACCCTGCCCCTTTGCACCTCTCTATCAGTTCCTCTATGGTGGCCTCCTGTTAGACCACTGCTCACCGCTTTCTGCTCCTACAGTACTGTCAACTACAGCTACCCAGGCCACAGATGCCCAGAACAGAGAGCACACCAGCCTGAGGTTGATCTGGCCACAGAACTACTGTATCCTCCCATAGAAACAAAGACTGCCCAGTGTGAGCAGTGCAGATAGCAGGATTACGCCTGCTGAGCTCGGTGACAGTAATCCCAGCAACTGGGAAGCTGACATAGCAGAACTGGTTTCAAGTTCAGAGATCTTGTCTCCAGAAACAAATCAGGGCTGGAGATGTAGCTCAGGTGATAAAGTGCTTGCCTAGCATACACAAAACTCTGGGTTCAAGCCCTTTTACCACATAAACCAAGCAATGGTTGCCTATGTCAGTAATTCAAGCAGGGCAATCAGAGATTCAAAATCACAGGCAGTCTGCATAACATACCCCCCAACCCTCACATAAAACAAGGGTCCACCTTGGTCGAGCCCACCTGCTACAGACTGAGGTGCCCACACAGCAGGAATTAGAAGGCATCTTTCTACAGGCCAGAATCAGTCCCACCAGATGTTTTCCAGGAGAGCCACAAAGCAACAGCAGCTAGTACTTGGCATGAACACTATATGCTCAGTACACAGTTTCCTTCCTCTATGTTGGAGAATCTCGACAGCCTCTACCTGGGTGAGGCCCCCTCTCCTGTTCCCAGCACCTTCTCATCTGAATGTGTGTTTACCAAAGCCCACACTGTGACTACTCTGTGACACATCTCCTACTCATCCCAAACTACACCAGGCAGGATTCCTACCACTGTGACCTGGTCCTGCTCTCAACCACAGGCAGAAACCGGCTAGGGAGAAGGGACCCCACAGACACCGGCTTAAGGAATGCAGGCCAAGAAAGACAGGAGCGCAATGGCAGTGAGGAGAGGAGGTAGGAGGTCAAGAACCACCTGGACTTTGCTGCTGTGAGAAGATGCAAGAGAAAACACGAGGGCCAGGATGAGGTGGGATGAAGAAAGGGTCCTGACCTGAGGCTTGAGGGTTCTGTCCTCCTGAGACCTAGAAAGGCCCCAAGGCACCCTTTCCACCAGGCTTCAGAACCACAGCCTTGCTGTCAGTTCTGGAGACCCAGGAAGCCCACAGTCGTGTCTGTGGAGTAAATGCTGCTGTTGGCAAGGCGCCCACGGACTCAGATCTCCACTTCTACCCCAGTGACGCTCTGTTACACCTTCCAGCAGAACAGAAGGCCCTCTACCACCAACAGCCTCCCTTACCACTAAGCACTGTTACCACAAAATTCCCATGGTTCCCTGCAAGCACACCGAAGGCTGTAGACACAGGCCATAGGAGAACGGTGGGAAGGCAGTGGACAGACAGTCCTTCCCTGCCATGGGTCTGAGATACCAGGTGAATTGTCACTCTGCTAGTTAGGAACATGTAGCATAAAAGTGGAAGCAATGCTCTGAGAAACATTCTTTCTACTCCCTAGGACCATTGAGACCTCTGGAAAAGCCCTGCAGGGGTTAAGAGGGGCAAGTCCCCAGTACATATGAGAGAGGCAGTAAGGGGGCAGGGGCTCTGTTTATGAGTGCAGGCCTTACCTCACCTGTGGCTCAGCCAACTGAACCCTACCTTACTAGTAGACAGCCCACATCCACCTCAACAGCACCTACCACAAAGGACACATTCGTACACAGCTTCCCAAGAGGGGCCCTAGTTCAGAAAGTGAAGGAGACGGGCAACGCCCATGGGCTTACCACAGCAGAACACCACCTTCAGCGCATCCTGCTTGGCCATGCCCAGCATAGGAAGCATGGTACTCAGGATGGACGGCAGAAAGGGAACCATGTCAAATGCTGTAAGAGAGAGGCTGTCACAAGGGCTGCAGGCCCAGCCTACTTCCCACCTACCTTCTCCTCAGGACTTGGAAGGGACCCACAGCTTAGGTATGAGCCCAGAACCCCAGGTCATCCTCAGAGGCCCACCAGAATTACTCAGGGACATCAAGGGACCAGAATCACTGTGGCACTTACCATTGGACACTGAGAGGTTAGCAAGTGTGTGCAGCACTGAAGAGTGAGGCAGCATTCCAGGCTGGAACCTGCTGAGCACCTCCTCCATCACCTGGTTGGTGAATCGCTTCCCCACGGCCACCAGGATGCTGCTGGCAGCCTGCTGCCAATCACAGTCCAGCTCCTGCACCCAAAGAGTCACCAGGTTGATCTCTCCCTGAACTTCTCAGGAGATACAAGCAAGATACTCGGCCCTCAGGGGCGGCTGGACAAGGAAAAGCTGCTGTGTTCCAGCCTTCCTAGTGAACACAGGTCAGAGACAACACGGCACAGCCTGCAGGCCATCTCCCTTCTTGTAGGGGCCCTGATGCCTAAGGGAGAAGCCACAAGTGTATCAGGGAGGACTGGTGAGGTAAGGCCTGGCAATGAAGAGGGCTGCACACAGCCATTAGTCTGGGCATGGATTCCCTCCCCTCATCCTAAGAGTTCAGGTGCCTAGTTCTCTGTCTCGGGGGATACACAGGATCAAGTGGTCAACAGGTCCAACTCCAGTCCTGTTCCAGATACCATGAGATAGAGGTCAAAGTAAAGGGCTGTCCTCAGCAGCTTACACGACAGAGGCCCTCACCTTGGTCCTTGTCATCTCACTGGAAGCCAAGAGAATGACAGTGCCAGCAGTGTCCTTGTCCACGTCATGGATGTGACTGGTCAGTACTGTCTCCATGGCCCTCAGGATCTTCGTACGGTATGGATGAGCCAGCTGAGGAGAGAAGTTCCCAGGGAATGTCCTGAGAGGTGGGATGAGTACCCAGGAACTCTGTGTGCATTTTGTCTCTACTGAGGTTGCACTGTGCAAGGCCATGCTCTCAGAGAGCACACTGGCCGAGCCTCCAGCCTTCGGAAGTGCCTGTGTGTCTTTAGAAGGGCCAAGGGCGGTCTTCTGTGTGAGGCAAGCTACAAGCAGATGAGCTGGTGGCTTGAGTATTGTCAGGAGGGTCTCCTAGAGAGCACCTCCTCCTTCCACACTTGGCCTCCCAGGCACGAGGAAAGGATCCCCTTCTTGAATCCTCGTTTTCTGCAGACAAGCCCCTCCTAGGGCTGTAAATAAGCTCAAAGTCAAACCCGGCCACCACTGCCCTCCTTCAGTCATGGTCCTTCTCTGTTCACAGCCTAGGGCACTACTGACCCAGTGTCCTGGACAAACCCTCGACACAGTCCTTTTATCCTTATCTTGGCAGCTCTCAGGTCACCCTGGACTCAAGAGCTGGCCACCTGCACTGGAAGGCTGGGGTAGACACTGTCTATGCCCATATAAAGGGCCACGAAGGAGGTGCTAGTGAAGGCTTCAGGTCGCCCATGGTGCAAATAGCCTGATGTACCCAGAATAGCCTGTATTGGGTGGCATGGGTGTTAGCAAGGGCAGGCTCAGAATAAGCCAGTATTCCACAGGCACTGGGACCACTTCTTCACTGACGCCACGAACTATCTCTCCCACAGCCGTGCTGCCTACCACATCAGGGGATGGCCAGGAGGACATGCCAGCTGGGACCTATGTAAGATGATACAGTTCAGTTAAGAAAGCTATACATGGGGCTAGAGAGATGGCTCAGCAGTTAAGAGCATTGACTGATCTTCCAGAAGACACGGGTCCCTACGCAGCAGCTCATAACTGTCTATAACTCTAGCTCCAGCAGATCCAACACCCTTTTTAGCCTCCTTGGGCACCAAACACATATGGTACATAGATATATATGCAGGCAAAACACCTATTCATATAAAATAAACTACATAAATAGAGACAGAATAATTTAAAGAAGAGGCAGGAGGAGAAGGAGAAAGAAAAGGAGGAGGAGGAAAAGGAGAAAGAGGAAGAGGAGGAGGAAGAGGAAGAAGAAGAGGAAGAAGAGGAGTCGGAGGAGAAATCACACATGATATCCAGGTTCCCTAGTTCAGAAGCAGGACATGTTTGCTGGATGCTGACATCTGCTGGATAAGCTACGATCACCCTTCATTCCTGAGCCCACTGTGGATGAGACATTCATTCCAGGAAGTAACCAGTACAGATCACAAAGAGCTTCAGAGCCAAGGAAGCTTAAAGGAAGCGCTTCAGCCCTGTTGTGTTTCCCCAGGATAAGGTTTTTGAATCCTCGTGTGTTGGTGCCCCAGGGAAGGGGGTGATACATTCTGAGATGGTGGTTCTTGGTCAGTCACAGAGGAAGACAGCCATTTCAGCTGGCTGGGTTCACATTTCTCTTTCCAGGAACATGGTGTTCCTGTAAGAGTCTCCCCCTGACAGGAACCACGGCCAGCATGCCAAGGGGGGAGAAAAGGGTTGCTGAGGCTCCTTTGGAGAAGAATGGAAAATTAATATGAGTTGGTATGCTTTCATTCAATCAAAATTATTAGGAGCTAGCTAGGAGCACAGCTCTGATGACACAGGAAGATTCTTCCAGTTCGTCTGGAGCAAACCTTTTCCAGCTTCCTCCAGGTTCTTGGTCCTAGAGGCACATTTCAAAGACCACTACACGGTCTTCCCAGGCTTCCAATTCCCCTCACCTTCACAGGGTACTCTGGGGGAGACCCTGCCTTCCCTCTAAGGAGAACGATTTCCTCAGCTGACCTCTCAAGGCACTTCCCTCCAGCAGCCTGTCCACTGGCCATGATGCTCTGGCAACTTCCTGCTCAGCACAGTGAACAGGCAGGGCGGCCCCTGAGGCTCGTGAAGCAGGTAGGCTCTATGACCCTGGTCTCTCTACAGAAAATATCAAAGGAACCTACATTTTAAGAGATGGCTGGGTGGCTAGGAGCACTTGCTGCTCTTGTAAAGTGGCTCACAAACACATGTAATGCTCACTCCAGCAGGGCTGGTGCCCTCTTCTGGCCTCTACAGGTCTTGCATGCATGTGCTACACATGGACAAGCAGGCACATACACACCTACACATAAATAAAAAAGAAGCAAGAGGCTGTAGAGATGGCTTGGAGGTTAAGAGCATTGGCTGCCCTTCAAGAGGAACGGAGTTCAATTCCCAGCACCCCCATGGAAACTCACAGCTGTCTGTAACTCCAGTTCCAGAGGTCCCACACCCCCACAAAGACAACTATGCGGGCAAAACACTAATACATATAAATTTTAAAATTTTAAAAGATTATAAAAAGATTAAGAAGTAAAATTTTAAAATATTTTTAAGAAATTTAAGTTCAAAAAAATTTAAACTTAGGGCTGGAGAGATGGCTCAGCAATTAAGAGCACCGGCTGCTCTTCCAGAGGACCCAGGTTCAATTCTCAGCACCTACACGGCAGTTTACAAGTGTCTGAACTCCACTTCCAGGGGATCCAACAGCCTCATACAGAATATACATGCAGGCAAAATACCAATGAACATAGAATAAAAAATAGATTATTTTTAAAAGTTTAAAAAAATGTATGACTCCTTCAGAACTTGGTTTGAACTTTGTCCTGTGATGGCCCACAGGGTGGGCCCACTCTGCAATGAGACTGAACTGATGACCTAATGACCACAGAGCTATACATGTGACTTTCACCGTGTGACTCAAAGCTCCAAAGATAGCTTTCTGAGTTAGGCCCCACAGTGGGGCTCTTCGAAGGCTTCTTCTCATGAGAAAGCAAGTAGCCATGAGCTCTGAAATACAGGACAAAATGTCTGCTCATTAAAAACAAATAAACAACAACAAAATACCAAAACCCAAAACCCAAAACACCTTTCATTGCTCTTGAATAAAAGGGTCCTGAGCACAGCACTGACTTAGGGATGAAATGAAGGCTGGGCCCTCCCAAGGAGAAGGCAGGCTTTACTGCCTAGGAGCTGAAGTGCGATCCTGACCACATCTGATTCACAAGGCCAGGAGCACACAGCTAAGGGCAGGGCACAGGCTGATATGTCACTGGGTTTGGTCCAACAGTTCTCACATGTTAGAGATCACCAGGGAGTGGCCTCTACTTGTCCCTGACCTGAATGACTCTGCAATGACACTGAACTGATGACCTAATGACCACAGAGCTATACATGTGAGTTTCACCATGTGACTCAAAGCTCCAAAGATGGTTGCATCCAGCTGGGCATGGTGGTGCCTGCCTTTAATCCCAGCACTTGGCAGACAGAGGCAGGCAGACCTCTGGAGTATGACACCAGCCTGTTCTACATAGTGAGTTCCAGGACAGCCAGGGCTACACAGACTTTGTCTCAAACAACAACCATCACCAAAGGATGGCCTCATCACCCTCTAAACAGTTTACCACTCCTAAAGCCGAGAACTCCAAAAGCCTTTAAAACATATTCCAATTTTAATCCCGTGTAGAAGGTGATATTGTCAAATACATATTTGGTTTTTGTCTGATTTCATGGAACACATTCCTAAAATTCTCAGACTCATCAATATGTCCTTTGCAAGCTAATGAGATGACTGACAGCTGAAGCCTCTACACAGTTTCAGGATGGAGCTGGTCACAAAAAAAGACCAAAGAAGAAAGAGCTAAACAATAGGGACTTCTAGCCTCCCAGTCTCTGAGAAGGACAGAATTGAGGGTGACAGTGATAACTAATAACCAATGATGTACCAATCATGCCCATAATCAATATACCAATCAATGAAGAGCCCATAAGATCCCAGAAGGACGGGGTGTCAAGCGCTTCCAGGCAGTGAAGCACGTGGAGGGTCCAGAAGGTGGCACACCCAGGGAAGACAGCAGGAGTCAGCATTCTTCCCACATGCCTGACCCTCGGCATCTTCCCTGGTACTCCTCCATATCCCCTTCCCAGCCTTGCTGGGCAAGTAGGAGTCATGTGTTTAGTGACTTGCATGTGTCAACCTAGCAACTAATAGACTCCAAGGAGGTAGTTTGGGGAACTCCAATTTGTTGCTGATGGAATGAACAAACAGGTCACAGCCAGAGGCCTGATGGTCACACTTGAAGCAAGGCTATCTTGGGACCGAGCCCTCAGCTCTAGAGTCTAACATGACCTCACAGTGAATGGTGTCGGAACGGAATGGAATCAGAAGATGGCCAGCTATGTCTGCTTGTCACAGGGCTGCTTGCTTGCATTTGGTCACCCAGAGATATGCCAGTAAGAGAGGCTGATAAAGAGACTGGGTGTGTGTTTCTTGCTGTCTGATGAGCTAACCAGTTAATACAGTTAATACAGAATCAAACACTAATCCATGTTTTGATGTTGGGCTCTAATATATTAACTTCAGTCAGTTTCATTTCTAGCTGTGCTCACACAGCCAGTGTTGTGGCTGGTCTCCACACTGGGGTATGATTGTGCCTATCCTAAACATGATAGCATGGTCTACAGAGCCTCTGGGTACCCACACACTGACAAGCAGGATCCCCTTATACCAGGATGGAAATAACAAGACTGGATATCAGACAGAAGTGGTTTAAGCTGAAAATGGTGGCAAGGAGAGAAGAGAGAAAAAATTCAGCCACTTTGTGAAAATAATGACTTTACTATCTTTTTCTCTCCTCTCCACCTCTGTAGCCCAACTCCTTCAGGAAGTCTGTCCTGATGTAAGACAGCAGACATGTCTACAATGATGAGGTCTAGCACCAGAAAGCCACAGCCTAGTGCTCTTGGCACTGGGTCCTGGAGTGTAACACAGTTAATACACTAACACAGGTAAGCACCTGTCTGGCATACACAAGTGCTGGGTTCTACTAGGCTTAGTAGCATAAGTACTTGGCGGGAGGAAACAAAAGGACCAGAAGTCTAAAATCATCCAGATTCAAGGCCATGTATGAAATGCCATTAAGGAAGAGGAAGAAAAGAAGCAAAAAAGAAAAAGAAGAAAACAACCAACCAGACTGCAGCCAACTGTAAGGTACCATGTGTATCCCCAAATAGCAACTGGCAGGACTCTCCTCTGATGGCCAATTTGGATTCAGTGGGATTTGAAAAGGTGCATGCTACAGCCAGGCAAGATGGCACCATCTACGCTACTGTGCCCTTCTCGTGGTTGCTGGCCCTCTGCCTGAGGGTCTGCCACTGCATCTACAACTCACAGCCCCAAATGCTGAATCTGACTGGCAGAAAGCTGAGCTAACTTCAGGCCCCACCGTTTTCCTGTGGATCTGTGTCTGCTCACCATAATGGCCACAGCAGTGCCACGGGATTGATCAATGTGTTAAGCTGGTAAAGTGAAAGAAAAGTTATATGTACGGTATCAGTCAGGTCGGGGAAAAGTGCATGCTGCACAGGGAAAATGCCGTGTGGGGAGATGTGTACATAAATACAGTGACAAAGAAACACAGCACAGGACAGCTGCTGAAACAGCAGCCTAGGCCACTTAGAGTAGCATGCAGGAGCTAGTGTGATAGGCAGGGAAAGGCCACATCCCATAGCATCAGGACGAGAGCGCCCAATTCAATAAAGAGCCACTGTAGCCATGTGGTGAGGGAGCAGGTTTTTAACCTTTGTTTTTTTAAACTCAGTGAAAAGCATTATGGAAGACAGGAAAGAGGTGGATTCACAATACAGGAGATGAGGAGCACAGCAGTCACATTAGTTTGCTGTGAGCTGCCATGTTGAGCCTTTACCCTTCAGCACTCTGACAGCCTTTCTCTCTTGCCTGACAACCAAACTCTGAGACCAGGGCATCAGAGCAAGACGCCTTTCAGCCGCACAGAGAAGGCCTTAGGCTGCGCAGTATGGTATACTTGGCTCTTGAGAGGATAAAACCCAAAGAGGAGCTGCGGCAGACACTCAAGCCATGCCAAATATGGCAGCTCAGAGCACAGAGCCCTCACAGCTTTACCCAGCCTCCTGACAGACAGAGTAGGCTGGCACAGCAGGATGAGTGGGTATGATCATGGAACTAAGTGATTTCCCCATGAGACAGTTGGTGTAAGTGAAGAACCCATGGAGAATGACAGCTTGTACCTGTGACCATGGCCACTTAAGAAGCTTAAAGACAGCTGGCTGTGGTAGCCTCCCAGCACTTGGGAGGCAGAGGGAGGTGAACCTCTGTGAGTTCAACCATGTCCATGGGGCTGAAGAGATGGCTCAGCAAAAAGGTGCTTGCTGTACAAGCCTGACAACCCGAATTCAATCTCCAGAACCCACATCAAGATAGAAGGGGACATGCTGGAGAGATGGATAGCTCGGCAGTTAAGACTGCGGCTGCTCTTCCAGAAAACCCAGAACCCACAACAAGTGGCTCACGACTGCTTCTAACTCTCAGCTCTAGAGGACTCAACATCCCCTCCGGGCTTCCAAGGGTGTTGTCCTCTGACACAGAGGAAAACACATAAACAAAAATAAACCTTTTTGAAAAATAGAAAGTGAGCCAGGCGGTGGTGGCGCACGCCTTTAATCCCAGCACTTGGGAGGCAGAGGCAGGCGGATTTCTGAGTTCGAGAGTTCAAGGCTAGCCTGGTCTACAGAGTGAGTTCCAGGACAGCCAGGGCTACACAGAGAAACCCTGTCTCGAAAAACCAAAAAAAAAAAAAAAAAAGCAGTCTTGGACTAACAATTTGACCTCCTACAGCATCAAACGGAATTCTAAGTGTCTTGCTCTAAGCCATGCTTGCCCACAGACTGGGATGTTCTGGGGTAGCAGAGGTCTTGTGTCCTCCTTAGAGCACATCTCTGGAAAGGGATGGAGAGTAGGCTGGCAGCCTGCAAACCTGGAACATCTCCCCAGGCCAAGGGAAGGCATGGACTCTCAAGAGCCCTTACCAGGGTCCCTTAGATGCTACTCCCTTAGGCAAGGGAGACACATTATCTCCATTCAATGTGCAAAAGTGAACAGCCAACAGCTTCTGCTCATGAATGCTGTCCAATGAAGTGACAACCTAGTCCCCTCTTGATGGGACTGCCAGTTCATAGGGCACAACCACTCCCTGTATGGTGGAGACCCAGCTATCCTCATCCTTAAACACTGCCTTAAAGAGAATCTACCAGACACTTTCTGCTGACAGTCTGGCTCATCACCCAGCCTACAGATGAGGATGTTCCTTGAGGACCTCACCATCACCAAGGGGACAGGTACCTTGTCATGCTGCCGTAGGTACTCCTCACAGGCATGGAGTGTCTCATCTGGCTGCGCGTCTCCAAGGGAGCATAGTGCACTGCAGACCTGCTCCTGTACCACAGGGTCCTTGTCAGTGATGGAATCCAGTAGGGTGAAGGACAGCCCTGCAGTGACAAAGTCCAGTGTGTTCAGGTCCAAGCACACCATAGCTACCTTCCCTGTGACTGGCACCAGCTTCTGGGATCGCTCTCTTAGCACACAGGAGATAGCACATCCAAGCCCAATGTCTCCGGGCCAATAGGCATGGCCACTTGCCTAATAGGCATTGCTGACCTGAAGCTGTTCTCTCATAAAAACCACTGTACTGATCAGATTCCCTTCTTGTCCACTACAGTGCTTCCCATACTGTGGGATCAGGGACATCCGGTGAGCAGCCTACTGGGCTGCATGACACAGGGCTCAGACTCTGGTTATCACTGAGAAGCTATGGGCCTGGATGAGGTCCCAAAGCTACTCCAACTACCACAAGGCCTGGACTTCTGCAAGGCCATCACCTTACCCAAGTTACTCACTAACCCATGGTGCTCCACAAAGGATCTGCAGATCCTTCAAGATACTTCAGGAAAGTTCCCTAAGGGCTAGAGAGATGCCTCAGCGGTTAAGAGGACTGGCTGCTCTTCCAGAGGTCCTGAGTTCAATTCCCAGCAACCACATGGTGGCTCACAACCATCTGTAATGGGATCTGATGCCCTCTTCTGGATAGAGCACTCATGTACATTAAATAAATAAATAAATAAAATCTTTAAAAAAAAAAAAAGTTCCTTGGGGTCCTGGGACACAGAACATACCCAAGTTCTACATGTAGGAGGGTGGCACTGGGCAGAGGGTACAGACAATGGTGATAAACAGTCAATGGATCCCATAGTGTCTGTCCCATAGGACTGTGCCTATCGAGGCCAGCTATACATCAAGCAGTCAATAGCTTTTTGATGATGTAGCCCTCTGCAATAAAGGCAAGACAGGCAAACCAGAGACAAGACTAGACTGGGTCTCTGCTCCCTCCCCAGACACCAGGCCTATACTCACACTGCTATAGCTGGGTATCTGGAGGTTATCCGGACATACTCACAGTAGCCTGAGAACAGAGTGTCACCAGAGCAGCATCTGCCTGCCCTTTGAGAAGGGCCCCTCATCCTGAGCAGGAAGGAGGCCTTTTTAACAGTTCTCCATTTCCAAGTCTCAACAGCTGAACAAATAGGTTGATCCAATTACTAACATCTGAGTGCACCTAAAGCCAAGTTTGCCCTCATAACCCAGACCTGGCCCTTCTAAAGTACATCTCAGCCCCTGCTCTCGGCTGTGAGCTTGACGGAAGCCAGCACATCCTCAAGCCATCATGGACATCTAGAACCTGACCTCCAGGGACAACAAGGATGGAGATACCACCACCCTCCAACATCAACTTTCTGCCTTTGCTGCCAAGGCAATGGAGTCCCACTGCAACACAACGCAGCCTCAGCTGCTCTGACAGCAGGAAGGCCGGTGGGCAGGAGGTGCCTCCCATGTGCACTCACTCTTTATGTAGGGCCTGGTCATTTCTGTGGTCTCGGCTTCCGCCTGTCCAGTGTGAGCATGGATAACTTCTTCCCCAACCTAGAATAATGGGAACACGGGATTTGATCCATCTCCTTCGCCGTTCGTAAGCTCAGGAGTAGCTGCTGCTCACGTCCAAAACACACGATTCAGCCTCATGTCCTAGGGAAGACCTCTATCACAGCTGGTCAGTCCACTCAGAAAGAAGGGAAGAAAGTTCCATGACCCCCAGGAACCCCCGGCTCTCCTACACTCCCAAGCCGCCAGCCCCCACCAGCAGAGCAGTAGCCCATGGTGCATTCAGGGCAGGCACACGGCTCTATCTTCACAGTCCAGGCACATACGATCACTTTCCCAACGGAAGCAAGGTCCTCTCACAATAAGGTGATCAGTGGGCACCAGAGCTCTCGCACACTGTGTCAGCTCAGCTGCACAGATGGTCGCAAAGAGTAAAGTCCCTCACATAATCAAGCCCTGCGCCTCTTCACTGTGTGTCTCATGCTCCTCTCTTTAATCCCAGTACTCCAGAGGCAGAGGCAGGCAGACCAGGCCAGCCTGGTCTACAGAGTGAGTTCCAGGACAGCCAAGAAAGATACCGTGTCTATACAAACACACACACAGAAGGAAGAAGGAAGGAAGGAAGGAAAGAAGGAAGGAAGGAAGGAAGGAAGGAAGGAAGGAAGGAAGGAAGGAAGGAAAGTAGGCTGAGCAGTTGAGCAGGATAGCAAGATGACTCAATGATTCACTGGGTAAAAAAAGTGCTTGCTGCTAAACCTGACAGCCTAGAACCTAACCTACACAGGGGGAAAAAAATAGCTACTACTAATTGTACACACACACACACACACACACACACACACACACACACGGGGGGGGGGGTTAATAATGCTAAAAATAATGCTTAAAAAAGATACAGGGAGTTAGATACCTCAGCAGTTAAGTGTCCTTGCAGAGGACCAAGTTCTGTTCTCCAAACCTAGTATATAACTTCTTGTAAACTCTAGTCCAAGGGGTTGGACAGATGGCTCAGTGGCCAGTGGCTAAGAGAACTGGCTGCTCTTCCAGAGGTCCTGAGTTCAATTCCCAGCAACCACATCACATGGTAGCTCATAACCAATGGGTTCTGATGCCCTCTTCTGGTGTGTCTGAAGACAGCAACACTGTGTGTGTGTGTGTGTGTGTGTGTGTGTGTAATAAATTTTTAAAAAAACAAAAAACAAAAACTCTCCAGCTCCAGGGTATCTGATGCACTCTTCTGGCCTCCAAGTACACCCATATGCACATGTAACATGTATGTGGCCAGGGACTGGAGAGATGATACAATGCTTAAGAGATAGAGACATAGCTCAGCAGTTAAGAGCACTGACTGCTCTTCCAGAGGTCCTGAGTTCAATTCCAAGCAACCACATGGTGGCTCACAATCATCTGTAATGGGATCCAATGCCCTCTTCTGCTGTGTCTGAAGACAGTTACAGTGTACTCACATACATAAAGTAAAATATATATATGTATATGTATATTTGTATATATATATATATACACACACACACACACACACACACACACACACACACACACACACACACAGAGGGGGGGAGAGAGAGGGAATTCACAGCAGAGAACCCAGGTTTAGTCCCCAGTACCCATATGTCAGCTATTAATCTTCTGTAACTCCAGGTCCGAGAGGGATTTCAACAAACTCCTTCTGGCCTCTACAGGTCAGATATGCACATAGTATGCTTACACACATGCAAGCAGAACACTCATTCACACAAAATAAAATAGAATATTTAATAAAATAAAAGATGTTAAAGAAACAGTACAAATTGACACCACATATTACCCTCCCCAGTGAGATGACGGAAGACACGTAGGGGACTTGAGTGGAGGCTGTGTTTCTGAGTCTCTCTATCCCTATCCAGACCTACAGATTCCAGTTCACTATGTATCCCAGGATAGCCTTGTATTTGCAATAATCATACACCTGCCTCTCAAGCACAAGAATCACAGGTCTATAACACCACATCCAGCCCCAAAAGTGTATTTTTAAAAAGTAAACTGAAGGCACTGGAGAGGTGGCTCAGAGGTTAGAAACACTGGCTGCTGTTCCAGACCATCTGGGTTTAGTTATTAGCACCCTCTTTATGGTGGCTCATAATGGTCTATAACTCTAGTTCCAGAAGATTCAACACCCTTTTCTAGCTTCTGTGGTTACCAGGCACAAAGGTGGCATATAGACATATGCAGACAAGATCACCTATATACACAAAGAATAAAATTAAAATGTTTAAAAAACAAAAAGTTTATAAATAAACCGAGAGGCTAGAAAGATAGTCCAAGAGTTAAGAGCTTGCTGCTCTTTCAGAGGACTAGCATTTAGTTCCAAGCACACACATTAGGTAGCTCAATGCTGCCTGTAACTCCGGAGGGCTCCAGGGAATCATATGCCCTCTTCCAACCTCCACGGGCATTTGCACTCAAGTGCACATAAGTAAAGGTAAAATACACATACGCTTATACACACAAGTGAAAATAAAATATAACTTAGAAAACTGAGATTTAAAAACAGGATAAAAGCAACAGACCAGGAAGTTCCTGATGGCAGAAGGGATGGAAGGCAGGCAGAGGGCGCTCCCTCGAGGACCACAGTGTCAGCACAACATCCCCGCCGTCGTCCAGGAGAGCATCTAAAACGAACAAAGAGACAGGAAATAAACATGCACGCTCCAGCAAAGAGAAAGCAAATGATCCCAAGACACGAGATGGCTTTGATAGCACCAGTTGTCAGGCAGTATGAGAAATGCAGGGGCTTAACCGACACAGACAGTCAATCTCCGATCTCCCAGGTCTGCGATAAGCCTACAAGGTACAGGTGTCAGGCATGGCTGTTCTTCCCTGTGAAAAGCTACAAGGAAAGGCAACTGCATCCCGCTGGAGTTGGTGTGTGTGATGCTCATATGTGCAGCAGTATTCAAACGTATGCAAACACGAGCAAACAAGTCAGTAACCGCCACGGTCACCTGTCCCTGGCATGAGTACAACCGCCACGGTCACCTGTCCCTGGCATGAGTACAACCGCCACGGTCACCTGTCCCTGGCATGAGTACAAGAGGAACCAACTTACCCCTCCTGATCAAAACAACCAAAGACCTGGATAAAACACAAAACCTTGTGTTGGTTGTGGTGGCACACATCTTTAATCCCAGCACTCATGAGGCAGAGGCAGAGGGATATCTGTGAGTTCAAGGCCAGCCTGATCTACAGAGAGTGTTCCAAGATAGCTAGGGCTACACAGTGAAACTGTGCCTTGAAGAAAAAGGAAAAAAAAAAAAAAGATATTGACCTAGAAGTGGTGAGAACTACCTCATATATCAGAAAGCAAGCTAGTCATCTGTGTCTTTAAACACAGAAAACTTTTCCCAGCAGGGTAAGAAAAAGAGACAGGAAAGATACAAGAAGAAATTCAACCTTGAGAAAGGCTTAACCCAGCACTGCAGGCTTTGACAATGGAGGAAGGAGGGTCCAAGAGAAGGAGTGTAATGGCCTCCTGTTGGGGCAACCTCTTTGTGCACTGTGTAAAGGTTGTCTTTTTATCGTTCAAATGTTGATTTCTGTACAGGCCAAGCGTTGAGCCTATTGCTATGTTTAGGGGTCATCACAGGCATCAGTATTTTGTAAACATACACCTCCCTCACCTTCTGATTGGTTTAATAAAGATATGGCTGCCAATAGCTGAGGCAGGAAGAAGAAAGGCGGGACTTCTGAGGCTTTGTGGGAAGAATCAAGCACTGGAAGGTTGGCCAGAGTGATAAGGAGGAGGTTGGGAGCAAGAGAGAGATTAACAGGCCATGTGATGGACATGGACTAGAACAAACGGGCTAATAAGTTAGAGCTAGCTGGGAGGTAGCCCTGCTATAGTGCCTAAACTTTGGTAAATAATAATAAGTCTCCATGTCATTTGGGAGCTGGTGAGTCCGAGGCAGTCCTGCAATAGCCTCAGTTTAGTCAGAAGAAAATGAGTGTCTTACTTTGCTTTCCATTGCTATAATGAAACACTGACCAAAATCACTTGGAGAGGAAAGGGTTTATTTGGCTTACACATCCTGATCACAAGACAGAAACACAAGGCAGGAAGCTGGAGGCAGGAACTGAAGCAGAAGCCATGGAGAAACGCTACTTACTGATTTACTCAGCTACTTCCCAGGACCACTCGTCCAGAGGCCACAGCTCAGAGGTCACAGCTCAGAGTGGACTGGCCCATACCCTTGCCAACAGACCAATCTGCTGGGGGAATTTTTTCAATTGAGGGTCTCTCTTCCCAGATGACTCTACCTTATACCAAGCTGACAAAAACCTAGCACACAGGAACATTGGTTCTATAGATGCAAAGTGCCCATTCTGCCAACAACTTAAAAACAGGAAAGAGACCGTCTCCACAGCCTTTAGTGGGAGTACAGGGTTCCTAGACTTATGACTTATGACAAAGGACTTTATCACAATATCTCTGTTACTGCAGCCTGAGAAAACGAGGCAGGAGAGATGCCTCAGCAATTTAGAGTACAAACTGACCTTGCCTGAGTTTGATTCCCACAGCAGGCAGGTCACAATTGTCTGTAACTCCATCCCAGGGGCATCTGACACCTGTGGCCTCCTCAGGGACTTATGGGCACATACCCACACATAGACATATATACGTATATATGGGTATGTGCCTGTAACCATGTGTGTGTGTGTGTGTGTGTGTGTGTGTGTGTGTGTGCATTTAAAAATAATTTTAGCTCTTTCCTCTCCGCCATCTTCTGTCTCCTGCTCTCTCTCTCCCTCTCTCACCCTCTATCTTTAATAAATCCCACTCCCATGGAAAAAAATTTTTTAAAGATATTTTTAGAAAGAAAGAAAACAAACCTAATCCAAGCACTACATATATGAGAAACTACCCAAGTCCAGGGAAAGAGACACCCACCCAAAAGGGCAAGCAGAGACATCTGAAGCATACATAGGGCAGGAGCAGCATCCATTCAAGGCTGGAGTAATGAGGGTCGTAACTCACAGACACAGGGTAGAACTCTCCCAGGGGTTTTGCCCTGGTGATAAGTTAGTTCTGGGCTACCAAGATGCTTCCAAAGATAAAGGCACTTGCTATGCAAGCCAGGTGACCCAGAACCCATACTGGAAGAAGAGAAACTACTCCCCCAAACTGTCCTCTGACCTCCACAAGCATGTGGCAGTCACATGCCTGCTTCACACACGTGCATCATACACACACACTCACGCCCTGGTAATAATAAATAAGTTAGTCCTAGCTGAAGTGCTGCCGAGGTCTCACCTAAGCAGACGAAAAGCTTTCAGACTGCGTCCAGGTCGCCTGTCACAGGGCTCAAGGCTGAAAACAGGAATACAAACATATCCAGAGCTAGCAAGGCAAAATGATGAGGCGTCCAGTCAAAAATGAGCAGGAAAATAAAGCACAGCTCACGGCCGGGTGTGGTAGCGCACACCTTTAATGGCAGTGCTTAGGGGGAAGAGGTGGGCAAATCTCTGAGTTTGGAGCCAGCAAAAGTGACATAGTGACACCCTGACCAAAAAACAAACAAAAAAAAAAAAAGAAAGAAGAAGAAAGAAAGAAAAAGCTAATGCAAACTACTCAGTCGGCACAAACTGACCTGGAAATAACAGGAAGAGGAGAATCAGTAGACAGGGACGTTCAGCCAGCTCTCGTAACTATATCTCATATAGGCAAGGAACTACAGGAGACAGTAACTATATTGAGAAAATGAGGTCAAGGGCAAAAAGACGAACAAGGTTTAAATATGCACAAAGCCATGGGTCTGACCCTGAGCAGTGCATGAGCCAGGCATGGTGGAGCACTTGCAGTCCCAGCTGAGCAGGATTTAGAAGCAGCGACCAAGAGTTTGAAACCAGCCCAGGCCATACATTGAGTCCCAAGCCAGTCTGTTCTATGAAACTTTGTCTTAAAAAATGACCAAAAAAAAAAACAAAAAAACAAAAAAAACCCAGCGCTGGGGCAATGACAGCAGATATTAGGCTAGTCTAGATGACGTGAGACTGTTCTCAGAAAAGGGAGCAGGGAGAGTCTTTGGCAGGAGAAAGCAGCCCTCAGGCCTCCCTGTGTGCCCCCACAGAGCCATCTCCCCCTCAGGCCTCCCTGTGTGCCCCCACAGAGCCA